AAAAATTTTTCAGTTGCACAGTGCAGTCAATCCCACAGTGCAGTCAAGGTTTTTTTCAGTTGCACTGTGCAGTCATAAAAAAATTTTTTGACTGCACCTAGCGGTCCAATTTCATAAAAATCTTTTTCATCGACTTTTCGCGACTTTAAAAAAAAAATTTTTTGATATTTTATCACCCAGTGTCGATTTTAACATCCAAAAATAATATTTTTTCCAGAAATTCCAAAATTACCCAATTTCCGATTGTTTCCAATTTTGCCATTTTTTGGGCTAAAAATACCCCTTTCCGATGTAAAATTTGGCTTTTATTGAGGTCATTGTAACCCTCTGAGATCACATCCGTTGTAAAATTTGCTCTTATTGCCTGAGTTTCAGTGGCGTGAATTTTGTTACGTGTTTCGCTGTAAATTGGACGGACTTTACAAGTAATTAGCGAAAAAAGACATTTATAAGCAAGTTGTTTCGGGATTTTCAAATTTTTCAAAGAGTTTTTGAGACAGTTTTTGTCAGAAAAAGAATAGAAATTTTGGAAAAAATAATTAAAAAAACCTTTTTTTTTAGAATTTTTGTGATAAAAAATAGAAAAAAATGTTTTTTTTTTGAGTAAAACTTGCATTTTTTGCATTTGATTTTTTTTATTTTATCATTTTTTTGCTGAATTATACATATTATAGTATTTTTTACTCTTATAAAACAATTTTTTTGCACTTTTTCCCCTAAAAATATCAAAAAAATCAAAAAACTTTTCCTCAATGCACGAAAACTTTAGCCTCCAATTTGCCGTCATGAGTTTCCCGTATACATTTATCAGATTCGAAAAAGATTCCCGGCTCGTAGCGCAAAAATTTATGTAGATTTGAGCGGATAAACTGTTTGAAGGCTCGTCGAAATTTGATCTTTAATCGGCGAATTTTTTCTTCATTTTTATTGTACGAAATTTTCCCCAGTGTTTTGTCGCTAAACTGTGAGATTTCCAAAGCCAATTAATTTTCACGTATTTTACAAATTCAGCCGATTTTTGGGCTAAAATTTGTAATTTTGGCCCATTTTTTGAAGTTTTTCATTTTTTTCAACAAAAAATCTATTGGTCGAACAATTTTATTACTTTATTTATCTTTTTTGAGCATTTTCACAACCTTGTTTCCCTTTTTGACCTACGAAACCATCCTAAAAAGTGATTCCGATATTCTCCATGACCATCAGCTATTCTTGACGATTTTTTCACAAATTTGCTCAAATTTTTAATACTTTTTTGATTGATTTTATAACCAAGTCTTCTATCTGTAATTTCCGATAGTTTTCTTTACTCCGGGGGAGATATAATGTTCGTATTTTACCATTTCCCCATTTTCTTTGTACCTCTCGCTACTTTTCCATTTTTACTATTTTTCCCTCAAAAAATCGGGTTGTCAACGAAGCCCTGTGCCGTATTACACACTATTACTTGTCCTATCTTCCTTGTACATCACTTCCCAACTCATCAGGTCTTGATCCGAACCGTTCTCGACCTTCTCCATAGTCATCAGCTGTTCTTAGTCATTTTTTTCCAAATTTTTTGTTTTCTCTATATTTTCCCCGCTGTCTCTTGCTATACGAAGCTTCTCTAGATTCTCTAGTCTTTGATTTTGATCCACATTCAACCAGAGTCATCATATTTTGCCCCACTTTGACATGTTTTTTGTTTTTTTCCCTCATTTTTCCAACCTCTTTTGTTTTTTCCATCAAAAAATCGAGCTGTCCGAAAAAATCTTTTTTGTACTATACTACTATTAGTCCTGCCCTGAATTTACTTCCTTTTCCAACCCATCAGCTCATGATCCGAACTGCTCCCGATAGTCTCCATAGCCATCAGCTGTTCTTTGAAAGTGTTGAGCGGACTTGACAAAAGCAAGTCCATTCGGCTGTTTGTCCAGTCGTTTGCACTTTCCGCGGTCTTTTCTCTCGCTTTTTGTTTTGTGTCCATTATATCCGGAAACCGGACTTTTTTGATCTCGGCCCCTCGGGCCATTCGGCTTCGATTTCGGTCGGGCGGATGGGATTGGTCTCAAAAAGCCTGAGGGATTCCCCTCAGAACTTTTTTGAGAGGGTCAGTACATTGTAAAGTGGGCATTTGGAAGTTTTAATGAGGATTTTGGGATTGAACAGTGCAAAGTTTTTTTTTTTGGCCGCACTGTGCAAAATATTTTGGATTGCACAGTGCAAAATGTATTTGGATGCACTGTGCAAAATGTTTTTGCCGATTGCACAGTGCAACATTTTTTGTTGATTGCACTGTGCAAGATATTTTTGATTGCACAGTGCGAATTTTTGTTGGCTGCACTGTGCAAAACATTTTGGACTGCACTGTGCAAAATGTTTTTGGACGCACTGTGCAAATCTTTTTGCCGATTGCACAGTGCAAAATTTTGTTGGCTGCACTGTGCGCATTGTTTCCGATTGCACCGTGCAAAGTTTTTTGTTGATTGCACTGTGCAAGATATTTTTGATTGCACAGTGCGAAAATTTCTTGACTGCACTGTGCAAAGTGTTTTCGATTGCACCGTGCGAATTTTCGTGACTGCACTGTGCAAGATATTTGTGATTGCACAGTGTAAAATTTTGTTGGCTGCACTGTGCAAAATGTTTTCGATTGCACCGTGCAAAGCTCTTTGTTGACTGCACTGTGCAAAATATTTGTGATTGCACAGTGCGAAGTTTTATTGACTGCACTGTGCGTAATTTTTTGGCTTGCACCGTGCAATTTTTCGTCGATTGCACAGTGCGGAACTTTCTTGATTGCATTGTGCGAAATCTTTTTGATTGCACAGTGCAAAAATTTCTTGTCTGCACCGTGCAAAATATTTTGGACCGCACCGTGCAAAAATTTTTTTGATTGCACTGTGCAAAGTTTGTGGCCTACAAAAGAATTAAAAATTGCCAAAAGCTTTGACCCAAAATATAATTTTAAGTTAGTTGAAACTAAAAAGCAACGCAACACCAAATTAAGTCAACCCGATTTTCTTAACTGAAAAGAAGTATGTTTGGTTTGCGTCTCTCGCCTCTCGCGGCCCTCTCTTTTCGCTGCGCTGTAGGTCAGTGACGTTTCTTTTATATCTTGTGACTTTGCGTATAAGGTGTGCGATGTCTCTCGGAGATTTTTTAGCGTTTAATTACTGTAGCGGAATCGTTTTTTTTTGATATCTTTTAAGAGTTTCCGAGGCGGAATTAAATATTTTTTTGGATTTTTCTATTAGGGTGGTCCAAAAGTCTTTTCGTTTTTTTAGGTGTCTTTTTGTCCAATTGTTTTTGTACAAAATAAAGACTTTTAGATGAATGTATTATATATATTCTTGAAGGTCTTGAGCTGCTTTATCATAATATATATTAAAAATTTTAATTGGTCTTTTATTGAAAATCTTTTAAGCTGTAGAAAAAACATGGAAAAATCCGAAATTCGTGTTTTTTTACGTTATTACCGAAAACAAGGCTTCAACGCAACTGCAGCAGCAAAGAAGATAAGCGAAGTTGAAGGCTACAATGTGGTCTCAGATCGTACTGCGCGATTGGTTCAAACGATTCAACGACGGCGACACGGACCTCGAGGGCAAGACGTCCTAAAAAACAATTTTGAAGGCGTAATTCACTTCGACTTCGTTCCAAATGCTCGGACTAGCGACGCAGACCTCTACTACGCTCCACTCGATCGAATGTATGCAGCGATTGGCAAAAAATATCCCGCTTTGATCAATCGAACCCGCACACCCCTGCAACAAGACAACGCAAAACCTCGCACCGCCAAACAAACGAAGGAAAAAATCAAAACTCTCGACGCCATTGAACTTCTTCCAGATCCAGCGAATAGTCTGCACATTGTGTCACACGACTATCACCTTTTTCGCTCCATGGCACACTTTCTGCGTGGTCGTAGCTTCAATGATCTGGACGATGTCGAAAACGGGTGCCGCGAGTTTTTCGCCTCTAAGAACAAGGAGTGGTACCGCAGTGAGATCGAACAACTTGCCGATAGATGGGTTCAAGCCATAGATTCAAATGGCCTTTACTTCGAAACTTAACTAGTTTTCGTTTGTTGTAAAATTATGTTTAAAGTTTTAACAAAAAAAACGAAAAGACTTTTGGACCACCCTAATATTTCTTGATTTTTAAAAAATTTTCTTTTTTTAAAATTTTTTAAATATTTATTGTGCATATTTTTTGTCATTTTTATTTGTTTAAAAAAAGTCCATCATAAAACTGTAAAAAAAGAAAATATTTTTTTTCGCACTGTGCCACGCCAATTTTAGCCTATATTTCGTATTGCACAGTGCAAAAAACGAAAATTTTTATGTTAAATTTTTGCACTGTGCAGACCTCAAAACAACAAAAAAAATATATTTTTCCGCACTGTGCAGTGCCAATTTTAGCCTATTTTTTGTACTGCACAGTGCAAAAAACGAAAATTTTTATATTAAATTTTTGCACTGTGCAGATTTCGAAACAACAAAAAAAAATATTTTTTCGCACTGTGCAACGCCAATTTTAGCCTATTTTTGGCGTTGCACAGTGCAAAAAATGAAAATTTTTATATTACATTTTTGCACTGTGCAGACTTCGAAACAACAAAAAAATAACGTTTTCCCGCACTGTGCAATGCCAATTTAAGCTTTTTTGGGCATTGCACAGTGCGAAATTTGAAAAAAAAAAAAAAAAAAAATTGAGTTTTTGCACAGTGCAAATTTTGAAATTTTTCCCGACCCCTTAAATTTTCAATTTTTACTTATTTTCCAGCGTTTTAACACTAAAATTTCTGAGAATTTCGTCCCGATTTATTTCAAACTCCACTTCCCCATCGCACTTCCGTGTCGGTTTATGTATTACATTTTCGACCGGTTTGTGACACCAAAACGTCCATTCACGTCCCCCCGTTACCTTGTCCGTTCCCCCAAAAGCTGTCGTTTGCCCGAGCGCGCAGATTGCAATCAGTGGCCCCGTTTTGCTGGTTGCTGACCCAAACAGAGTGCAGAATGACATCATCTTCTCTCTTCTTCAGATTCTCTCCGCTCATCCTTTTTTCCGCCTGCCATATCCAACGCCAGATTTGGAGCTCGGGAAGTGAGGTGAGATTAAGATTTTTTTTATTTTTTGATAGTTTTAGAGGCATTTTGAGAGATGGAAAATATGATTTTTTTGAGGTGGAATAAAAGTATTTTTTTATTATTTTCGAAAAAAATTTTTAAATAAATTTTATTTTTTTTTATTTTTTGCGATGCTAAGATCGCAAAAAATAAAAAAATGGATTTTGGTGTGTGAAAAAAAAACAAAAAAAAATCAGAAAAATCAAAATTAAAAAAATATATTATTTGCTGATTTTTATTTTTTTTAGATTTTTTTTGATTTTAAAAAAAGTTTTTTCAGTGGATTTTACGCTCCAAAAAATTTTTTTTAGGGAATTTACAGTCAAAAAATTGTTATTTTTAAAAAAATTTATATATTTTTTTTCTTGAACTTTCCAATTTTAAATTTATTATTTTTGGAATTTCGGATTTTTCATTTTTTTTTATTTTTAAAAATTTTTCCTTTCAAAAAAAAATTATTTTAAAGAACCCCAAATTTATTAATTTTATTAATTTATAAACCTTTCACCCCATACTTCAGCCCGACCCTTCTGGCGACACATTGTTTTCGCCGCGCCCGCCGCTTTTCGCCCTCTTTCTAGTCCGGTCCAAGCAAGCTGGACCCGCCCGCGCCGACGCCCCGAAAGCAGTCCAAGCCGCGCCGCTCCACTCCAGCCACGACGACGATTGCCCAACCGCCGGTGGAGGCCTGGCCCAGGCCGGGCACACAGTCCTACCCCAATAGTGGGGCCAACTCCTTCGATGAGGCCAGCTCGTCGCTCTCGTTGCCGAATGCGTCGCCCGATCTGGCCAACTTGCATGATCTCCACATTCAAAGCCCCCAAGAGCAGGAGAGCGGGGGAATTGAGACGGTGTCGAGTTGTGGGTGAGTTGGATTTTTTGCATGGTGCAGTTTTGGGAATTACAATTTTTTTTATTATTTTTTTTTATTTTGCAATTTTTAAAATTTTTCAGTTTTTGCACAGTGCAGATTTCATTTTTTTTGCACGGTGCAGTTTTGGGAGTTACAATTTTTTTTGTTATTTTTTTTTATTTTGAAATTTTTAAAATTTCTCACTTCTTGCACAGTGCACATTTTTGTGATTTTTCGCACAGTGCAGATTTAATAAAATTTTTTTTGCACAGTGCAGATTTAATAAAATTTTTTTTGCACGGTGCAAATTTTTGTGTTTCTTTGCACGGTGCGTTTTTTTGTAATTTTTTGCACAGTGCAAGTTTTAAATTTTTTTGCACAGTACCGTGCTGATTTAATAAAATTTTTTTTGCACAGTGCAGATTTCATTTTTTTTGCACGGTGCAAATTTTATATTTTTTTGCACGGTGCAAATTTTTGTATCCCTTTGCACAGTGCAAGTTTTATATTTTTTGCACAGTGCAAATTTTTGATTTTTTTTGCACTGTGCAGTTTCATTTTTTTGCACCGTGCAAGCTTCTTCATTTTTCGCACAGTGCAAATTTTATTATTCCTTTGCACTGTGCGATTTTTGTAATTTTTTGCACAGTGTAAATTTTATTTTTTTTCGCACTGTGCAAAAAATTTCGAAATTCATTTTGTACCATACGGTCGTTCAAAAATAAAAAAACCCGAAAAACTAGTAATCTCTGAACCCACCCCTGCAGGGTTTACAATTTCGAACCACTTGTCACCACCTTTTTCCAACTTTTTCAATGCTTTTTAAAACTTTTTTGGTCCAATATTACACTTGACCAACTAACCAGTGCAATCTAACTACAATTGCATTAGTTAACACATCAAGTTCTACTTGCGAAGTTCAAGTGCAATTCTAAAATAGCTTTTGTAGTTGTTCCTTTATGTTTTTTCTCTTTTTGGCATTACAATTTTCATTTTCAGCGTCAAACATGTAAAAGAAGAGAGGCCGGTGGTCTGCCAGGCGAGGAGTTCGTCGTTTTGTCATACAATCATGCCTTCGGGATCACGTAAGTTTCTTTGTTTACTATTTTTAGCAATTTTTTGGGGTTTCGAGGGGGTTTTGAAGGATTTCCCTGATTTTCAGGGTTTTCGTGGTGGTACCTGAAATTGATGTCAATGAAAGCGGATTTTTGAAAAGTTTTTGAAAAAAACAAATTATTATTTATTTCTAGAGGGCCAAACCTGCAATCTTTTTTTATTTCGGATGGTTTTAGGAACGTTTCCCTGATTTTCAGGGTTTTCGTGGTGTGACCTAAAATTGATGTCAATGAATGCTGAATTTTGTGTGGGTTTTGAAAAAACAAGTTATATTTACGCCTGGAAAGCGAAACCTACGATTTTTTTATCATTTCGGATGGTTTTGGGACGTTTCCCTGATTTTCAGGGTTTTCGTGGTGGGACCCAAAAATTGTTGTGAAAAACGTCACATTTTAGAAACATGAAATAGTCAAGTTGTTGTAGGTTCTTTTTAGAGTGAATAGCATTTTTAGGTTGTTGGATTTCAAGAGGTTTTCGTGGTGGGACCAAAAAATATTAAATTTTTATTTTTTCTTACTTTTTTTAATAATATTTTTTTTGTAAATCATTGACTTTTCAGGTGGATGTCTAACCAAACGAATATGGCAGTCAGAGCAGCGAGTCTCGGTGAACCAAGAGATTGTCAACCGAGAGATCGACTTGTACATGGAAATTGAGCGCAAAATGTCGGACGATGTGGAGTCAAAAACTGATGTTCTGGCTGCAGAAGTGATCCGAAAAGTCCCTCCAACAAGGTCTCATAGCATGGTTGACAGCGTGAGTTGATAAAATTTTCTCAGTTTGAGGTATTTTGTTTCGCACTGTGCAATTATTTCTAGTATTTTTTCGCACTGTGCGTGAGAAATGATTAAATTTTTTTATGAATAGTGTATACGAAGGATGCCTTTACGTATTTTACAATCAAAATAGGCGATAGTTTTTTGTCAAAATTTCAAAAAAAAAACGAGTTTTTCGCCTTGCACAGTGCATCAAAAATTTTCATTTTTTGCACAGTGCAGTTTTAAAATTTTGTTGCTGCACGGTGCAGAAGAGATAAGAAGGTGAAAATTTTGTTCTTTCAGGTCATAAAACTACAGTATTTTCTGACAATACCATAAAAATTTTTATTTTGCTATTTGCACTGTGCAATTTTCAAATTTCTCTTGTTGCACCGTGCAGTCTCAAAATTTTGTTGCTGCACAGTGGGGAAGAGAGAAGAAGGCAAAAATTTTGATTTGTCGGGTACTAAACAACAGTATCCTCTGAAAATTTTATAAAAAATCTTATTTTGCTGTTTGCACCGCGCAAACTTTCAAATTTTTCTCTCTGCACTGTGCGAAAAGCTCAAAAAATCGGAAATTGGTTTTTTGGACCCCAAAATCATCGCACATGCTTCTTCTTCTCCCATAATCTCTATTTCAATTTTTTCAGCCCTACTCCCAAGCCGGTCCATCGTCGTTTTCGCCGACGGCCGCGGATTACGAAGAGAATAGCTTCCAAAAAGACATTGCGGCGAGGATTCGAGGTGGGTTCATTATGCATTCAGTTGAAGGGTGGTTTTGAGGGATTATGTAAAATTTCGCAGAGCACTCGAAAATTTTAACTAGCTGTCACGAGTGGGAAAATGAGAGATAATAACGGGGTTTATGCTAATTTTTTGAAAATTTCGAAATTTCAAAAACTTGAGTGATTTATTGAATATAAATTTTTTATGAATTATTAATGATTTTTATATATTAAAATTAGTCAAAATGACAATTTTTTTTATAAAATTCCAAAAAAAATATTTTATGCAAATTTTTAAATTTGCATAAATTATAATTTTTCTTTGCTAAAATAGCCAAATAGGCCTGCTAAAAATATTTTTGAGCTGTTTTAACGACATTTTCAAAAAATTTTAAAATTTCAAAATTATGCAAATTTCACAAAAATTATCATAATTCAGTATAAAACATCAATTTACAAGTCTTTCCGCACGGAATTCTGTTCTTTTTGAACTGAAATCAGCGACATGCACTGTGCGAAAACAAAAGTTTTTTTTGCACTGTGCAATTTCTGGGTTTTTGCACCGTGCATTTGGCTTTTTTTGGGCTGACTTTTTTTGCACAGTGCAAGCGCTAAAAAATAGTCCGGCGACTTTCAGGAAAGTCTTGTATTCAATTCTAATGACATTTTCTTCTTTCTGCAGTCCCTAAAATTTCAAAAAATCTCAAAAAAAAAAAAAAACAGTTTCAAAAAATTCCAAAAATTCTAAACCCGATAAATCGCTGAATCACATCGAAAATTTGAATTCATTCCACTCAAAATCAACTCGAAATGTCGGGGCGTTTAATCCCTCCGCCGCCAAAAAGAGAAAAGTGGGCCGCATTCCGGGAAGTGTTGATCCCGAATTCGGCGGGTTTAAATTCCATTTGGCTGTCATGTACAGCAACAGTGCGTTGTACAGCATGCTGGAGCGGCGGTTTTTGGCGGCACTGAGTGGTGAGGAGGAGGTGTCGGCGAGCTCGAGTGATTCGAATATTCTTCTAGGTAGGTGGAGGTGGAATTACTAAAAAATTGGTGAAAAAATGCATTTACTGGCTTGAAATAACTGTCAGCTTGCTGAATATTGATTTTTCAATATTTGTTCCGTCTTAAATTTTTATTATTTCCCCTAAAATGCGCTGATTTCCTTACTATCTTGGCTATTTTCCCCAAAAAAATAAAAAAACTAGATCATTTCCAAGTTTCTACCGTAATATCAGTCTGTCGGAAAAATAACGGCGGATTGTCGCGCCTCGGAATCGCCCATCATCGCTTAGCGACTTCAAGCCGCGGCTGGGAATTTGGTGCGCGATATCGGCGAAGCGAGACATTTTGATGCGACGATCCGCCGTTATTTTCCCGACAGACTGATACTATCATAATATTCCATTCCCAGTCTGATGTAGGCCACTACAAATGAAAACCCACTCCCTGATATTGATTATGCATTCGTAAATAACTATTTTTTGCATACACCCACAAGTTTCATCGCAATTTCGAAGTTTAGCCAGAGTTTTGTCGAACATTGCGCTACAGTAGGCTGTTGTTTATTTTGGACAATGTTTATCAGGTCCTGTAATGTGCCATGAAAATTTTATTTGGTTTTGCACAGTGCAGTTTCGAAAATGAGCAATTAGATACTAGTCGCGGAAAAAAGTCCTGGGAATTTCTCGCGGCCGTCGCGCTCCGAAAAGTTGATTTGTCGCTGCGAAACGCGGGAATCGCGCGCGACAATAAGGCAAAATCAACAAAATTGCACTGTGCAAAAGCACTTTTCGGGTTCATGCACAGTGCAGAGTCGCAGAAAATTCCCAGGACCTTTTTCCGCGACTAGTAGTAATACTCTAATAAATTTTGATTTCTTGAGTCTTCATACGACATGTGGAGGACACTCTTTAATCCTCATATCCTAATATAGCCAATTTTTCCTTGTAGGGCGAAAAAAACTGTATTTCTTTTATTGCACTGTGCAGTTTTTGAATTTGCTATTGCACTGTGCAAAGCATCTTCAAACTTCAAAATTTCGCTTTCATCAATTTTATGAAACCCCAGTTTTTCAAGAAACCAAATTTAGGACCCTCAGGGTATCCCCGCACCGTGCAAACATCTCTTTTATTCTCTGCACAGTGCAATTTTCCCAATTTTTGTCTGCACAGTGCAAACGTCGCAAATCGAAAGGTGAAGAAAGCATTATGACTTAGTCTAAAGTATCATCCGGTAAAAGCACCCTTCCCATGATACAAATTAGTACAGCAATTAGAGAACTGCGTTATTGTGACGCTCCGAATTCTTTTCATTTCCAACAAATCTGATATCCCCCTTTTTGAGGCGATTAGATGGGGATGGTTAATCCGGCAAACGCGTGGAAGTTGTACGAAAAATATCTTGTTTCATAATGCCGATTACGGGTCTTTTGTGTGGAGAAAACAGTCTTAAAGGGTATTTCATCTTTCGCACTGTGCAGTGGAACGTTTTCAGGAAATTGGTTTTTGCACGGTGCGATGGACACTTTGTGTCGCGAAGGTATTTTTACTGCACTGTGCAATGTTTTCCAATTTTTGCACAGTGCAGAAAACGAATTTTTTCGTTCGCACTGTGCAATAAATTTGTTTCTAGGTTTTGCACAGTGCAGACAACAAATTTTTCTTTCGCACTGTGCAATGACTTTTTTTTAGATTTTTGCACAGTGCAGACAACATTTTTTTCCTTTGCACAGTGCGATAAGATGTCTTGGCGATTTTGCACTGTGCGAGGGACTTTTTGTGTCGCAAACATCTTTTTTCTGCACTGTGCGATGATTTCAACTTTTCGCACTGTGCAATGACTTTTTTTAGAGTTTCGCACTGTGCAGACAACAATTTTTTTCTTTTGCACTGTGCGATAAGATGTCTTGGCGATTTTGCACCGTGCGATGGACTTTTTGTGTCGCAAACATCTTTTTTCTGCACTGTGCGATGATTTCAACTTTTCGCACTGTGCAATGACTTTTTTTAGAGTTTGCACAGTGCAGACAACGAATTTTTTCTTTTGCACAGTGCAATAAGATGTCTTGGCGATTTTGCACTGTGCGATGGGCTCTTTGTGTCGCAAACATCTTTTTTCTGCACTGTGCAATGATTTTAACTTTGCGCACTGTGCAATGACTTTTTTCTGCGTTTCGCACCGTGCTGACAACACATTTTTTCTTTTGCACAGTGCAACCCCCAAAAACAGCCCACTACAGCACACTTGCGTCAAGAATGGAATAAAAATTCCGTCTATGTCCCTCGAATGTGTCATTTCGTTACCGTAGCCCTCCATGAAGTCAGATGTTTGTGAGGTATGAGTCAATTACTGTGTTAGCTTTTAATTCTTTCGCAAAAACACACACCCCCACGCCCCCTACTTGGTATGCCGCTAATGGAGTATTCAATTAAGTCGTTGAGTTTCCGAATTCGAATTGAAATTTTCCTTTTGACTCTTTGACTCGAGAAAAAAAGGGCCCAAAATGCGTGGGCTGGATGAGAAGAGAGCGGCCGAAAAAGTTTGCGGCCAAAAAGTTTTCATCGCTCCCCGAGCAGATGTGTTTTTTCAAGCGGGAAAGAACGGCTTTCGAAGCCGGATTTTCGCTAGCCGATTTTTCGAAATTAAAAAAAAATTTTTTTTCAAAAAAAAATTTTTTTCAAGATACCATAAGTAATACATATGTGGGTCAGCAAACATCCTGAATAGCCTAATAAAAGGCTTTTTTTATCTTGTACCTTCAAAAAATTGATTTTTAATTGAAAATTTGCACTTTTTCGCGATTTTTGGCCAAATTTTGTGCAATTTTGGTAAAATACGTGGTTTTCAGGGTCCATAGCACTTTTATCGACAACATTTAGGCTTCGGATTACGGTAGATCCTAAAAAAATTTGGACTTTACCTTGAATCCTTTAAAAAAAACAAAGAAAAATTCAATTTTTTGATGATTTTTTGGACTTTCAAAAAAATAGTTGATGTTTTGACCTTTATCTTCTTTCTACTGTAATTTCCGGTCCCCCAACCATTCCTAAGCACCTCTTTGTGCGCCAAAACCGAACCAATTCGACATTTTCGGAGCAATTTTTTCATCCCCCCCTTGAGATGTCCATTCTAATCCCATGCCCTAAGGCTTCGGAATGAAGAACGGGGAATGTTCTGATATGGCAGCGCACTTTTATTTTCCGGTCGGCCACGTCAGTTTTCATGTTTTAATTTCTCGCTCTCTCCCCACTATGAATAATATAAGACGTTCGGAGCGCGTTCGTGGTGTGTACATGATTTACATACGCGCCCTTTTTGATGTTCTTGTTTGACACTTGACTTCGTTCCGATGTTCCATCGCGGCACGTGCTTTTAGGCAATGAGTTTTTGAGGTTGCACGGTGCAATTTAAAATCTAGAGGATTTTGCACGGTGCGGCGGGAAAATCTTGATTTTTCATAGTCTAAGCGACAATTTTAAGGAATGTAAAGTGTCTTAAAAAATTTTTATGTCTTTACTTCTATCGTAGATTTCATTTTTTACAGGTTTTTCCAGTGCACTATGCGAAAAATATGTTTTTATTTTTTGCACGGTGCGGCGGAAAAATCTTGATTTTTCAGGATGCATGGGACAATTTTGAAGAATACAAAGTGTCTATAATTTTTTTAAGTGTTCACTTTTACTACAGACATCATTTTTTTACGAAATTTTTTATTGCACGGTGCGAAAAATTATTTTGAATTTCTTGCACCGTGCGGAGGAAAAAATGTTGATTTTTCATGATTCAAGCAAATATTTTGAGGAATGTAAAGGGTCTTGAAAAATCTTTAAGTCTTTACTTCTACCGTAGATAGCATTTTTTTGCAAAATTTTTCCTTGCACTGTGCGAAAAACATTTTTTAATTTTTGCACAGTGCAAGAGAAAGTTTTGAAAATTTTGCACCGTGCGGCGGAAAAATCTAGATTTTTCACGATGCAAGCGACAATTTTGAGGACTTTGAATTATCCTAGACTTTTTTTGAGCTTTTATTTCTCCCGTAGACACATTTTTTACAATTTTTTCCACCGCACGGTGCGAAAAAATTTCTTAATTTTTTGCACAGTGCGGAGTTCAAAACTCAAAATCTTGCACGGTGCAAACAAGCCGAGCAAAAATTTCGAAAATTTTTCCAGAACTTTGAACGCTTTGTCCAATGTTCCTCTGCACGAAGCGACAGTTCTCCCAATGTGTTCGGATTTCCCCCGTTTGCGGCCGGAAAGCGGCCCGACGAGCCCCCCAAAAGAAATTCTCTCTCCAAACGCGGATTTGGCCCAGTGTTTCTCGGGGCCCGAGGGCGACACACACTGCGGTGTGTGTGTGCTGCGGGACGCCCGGTCTCGAGGCATATAATGTGCTTGCTCGTTTCTTTTTTTCCTTCCGCTGTGAACGCCAAGGGGGGGGGCGATGGAGCGAGAATTTGAGAAAATTTTCTCTTCGTCTCCTGTTTTTCCTCCTTGGCCTTCGGGGCAAGTTCGGACCGAACGTTTCGGGCGGATGAAAGGAAAAGTTTTTAATGCGCGGCGTCGAATTTCGAGGGCTTGACATTGGAGACGCTGCAACGCGGTTCCGCTCTTCGAATTCGTTGCAGAACATGATGCAATGTCTCAAGAGGGTCTTCGAGTTATGTATTGTGGTCTTTAAGCTTCAATGAAATTAGAGATTTCCATGAAATAACAATTTCGTTTTACATTAGCCATAAATTTGATGGGGTTCGGAGATTGCCAATTTTAAGTGGTTGTTGTTGGTGTAGCTGGCGGGCAATTGAACCTAGTTAGTTTTTGAAGGCTTGTCAACATACTATGAAAGTTTTTTCTGTCTGGAAGATTTTGTTTTATCAAAAAATAAGACTTTATATTATCTTATCCATCAAACTAATGTCCGGCAAAGATTTGTCGGTTTTGAGGTTTCTTCATAGAATGCCCTGCGGGAAAATAGTTTTGAAATGTAGCTAATTCCTCAATAGTTATAATTTTACAATGATTTATTGAAAGTATTGTACACTTTTTTCATTTACAGAACTTTTATCTTACCTTTCCCATCTATCTAGCCTCAATTTAAATTTTATTCTTTTTCTATGACCTGTTACATCTGTCATTTCCTCATACCATCTCAAAAGCTTGTTTCTGCTCTTATCTGTCAGCTAAACACTTAGTCATGTCACAGTTTGGCCATATCTTTATATTGCGACCCCATAAAGCCCGGTTATAACCGGATGCAAAAACCAGTTGTTTTGGCCCAAATCGAATGAAAATACAAGGGCCGGAAGAGCTCAAGCACCTGGCCAATTGGTTTTCTATCCGACTCGTCATATGCCCTGAGGGGAAATAAAATGTTTTAAGGGAGTTTCCTCTTTTTTTTTTGATTTTTTTGAGTTTACAGGGGATTTTTCACTTTTTTCCCTTTGATAGTAATCTAATAAATGCAGCTGCCTACAGACTGTTTTTTAGGCATTCAAAACAACAGTTACGCCCTCGCAACCTATTCAGATTGAAAATTCGCAATAAATATCAAATCATCGAAAACGTGGGAATGGGTAATTGGCAGGAATGTGTGAAAATAAAATATCAAGTGTTTAGCCAGTCTTCAAGTCTACACTAAATGTTTTTTGAATTTTTAAATGCATTTGTAAGCATTTTTGATTAATTTGGAGACATTGCACAGTGCAATGATCACTTCAGGCTATTGCACGGGGCAGAAGCTACATTTCTTGCGCAGTATCCGAAGAAAACACTTGATTACACCTCGCCAAGGATATTTTATCGCAGAGTGCAAGAATTTGTCGCTTGCGCACAGTGCAATATCAGTCTGTCGGGAAAAAAACGGCGGATCGTCGCAGCGAAATGTCTCGCCTCGCCGCTATCGCGCACCAAATCCCAAGTCGCGGCTTGCAGTCGCAAAGCGATGATGAGCGACTCCGAGGCGCGACGATCCGCCGTTTTTTTCCCGACAGACCGATAGTCCAAATTGTTTTTTGCACAGTGCAGCGGGAAGATTTGGCCGCACAGTGCGGAAGGCTAGATGTATCGCACTGTGCGTTTTCTGACATAGTGTACTGACATATATTTTTACATCTGCACCGTTTTTACAGTAAAAAACGCTTTCCGCACGGTGCAATTCTCTTACAAAAGTTCGCACGGTGCAATAAACCCGACAAACTACTGCACAGTGCAGCCCCAACCCCACAGTTTTTTCGACATTTTTGGGCTTTCCGTAGGTGTGAGTATCACAAATATAGTTTATTGACGTCGCTTTGCGTTGTTTCGGTTACGTATTTGCTCCCACGGGGGCTAAAATTGTAAAATTTTCTCATCGGTTGTAATTGGAACTCTCTTAATTGGAAACTGTAAGTTCTCCGCAAAAAGTGTGTTTCTGAAATTCGAAGAAAGATATCGTAGTTTAATCTTCATCTACAAAAACGAGTTTACGAAAAAATCGCCTTGTTTGCCGCTACAATAAAATGATTTTTGCCCTCAGGCGATGTTTTCAATTTTTCGACGACAAATGTCAGCGTTGTTCGTGGCACCAAGTTTTGATGATTTCACTCACTTTTTCGCCGCATTTTGCGACAAATCCCCTCCTCCGCACTGTGCAATGACAAAGAATATCCTCCGCACAGTGCAGCCTTCTAATCGTCTTGTCGGCTTGCTCTACCATCCAAAAATTTTTACAACTTGCCGCAGACGCCGAAAATAGAATTTTTATTCTTCTTGAGTCCTCGAAATCGCGAGATAAACCCGAACTAATCATCCGCTAATTAGCCAAATGTTCTGCTTCTGGAATTATCGGCTCAAGGCGGGCTTAAATATCTTGGTATGGGCATGCCTGAGAGATTTGGTGGGCATATTTCATTTTGTGAACATAGTTGTTATGCCTTTAGATAGCTACTATCGCGCTGGAAACGCTTAGAAATACTGTTTAAAATTTTCGGATTTTTCTGGGTTGAGGCTTTTCAGAGTGATGTTACAGTACCCGCAGTGACTCTAGGGCTTTAAATTTTTCACTGAAATTTCTGCATAGAGTCTAGTTAGTCGCTATATATCGATTTTTGACGTCAGCTCCCAACTGCATAGGATTAAACGCCATAAAACCTGCAATCTTTTTGTTTTCAACTTTTTGTAGGTCTTCACATTGCACAGTGCAAAAATAGTACTTCCACTCGCTGTAATTCTTCAAAATTTCGAGTGTAGAACTGCCATAGTATCTACTTTTAGATACCACAATTGATTTTTAATTTTGTCCCCTCAGGGCATGAAAAATGAGCGACCTAGGAAAAGTCATCGGTTTTCGCCCAAATTTTTTTCTTTTTAATTTCCAATTGTCGCGCTGTTATAAACACCCAAAATCCGCCGTTAGCAATGACGCTAGGCAACCCTAATTCCCCCCAATTACCTCCAACTCCCCATGCACACGCCACCACACATATTAAACTACCTCTTTGCCCCCATCTACCGGTCGCATTTCCGCTCTCAATTATCATTTTTTTTCGGCCCACGCTCCTGACGTCGACCTCACGCTCGATTTGAAATTCCCTCTCAACGAATTTCGGAAGCCCCAAAACTTTCATCCTCGAATTTTAATATTCCTTTGCTTCCGTGGACTGGGAGGGATACGCCGCGTTTTGGGCTTAAAAATAAGGAAGTGAAAATGAGCCGGACTTTTTTTTTAATCGCACTGTCTGGAATGTGTTTGGGGAGAAAATTTGAAAAGAGAATTTCATTTTCTGTTGTTGGAAATTTTGCACAGTGCGGTGGGTTTTGAAGATTTTTGGATTTGCACTGTGCAATTGAATTTTTTTTGACTGCACAGTGCAGTAGAATTTCTTGCACTGTGCAGTTGATTTTTTTGACTGCACAGTGCGAACTTTTCCGAATTTTTTTGCACAGTGCGACAAACTCAACTATTGCACAGTGCAATAAATTTTTTTGCACAGTGCAAAAAAACAAAGTTGAAAACTGCACAGTGCAGTAAATTTTCTTGCACTGTGCAGTTGATTTTTTTTGACTGCACAGTGCATTAAGATTTTTGTCGCGCGATGCGAACATTTTTTTTTTGCACTGTGCGGTAAAAAATGATTTTCTGCACGGTGCAGTCAAACTGCTTCGACTGCACAGTGCGGTAAATTTCTTTGGCACAGTGCGAACTTTTCCGAAATTTTTCGCACAGTGCGGTAAAAAATGATTTTCTGCACCGTGCGAAAATAAAAAAAAAATTTTCGCCCTGTACTCCAGCTCCCAGAACGCTTTCCCAACCCTCCCAAAATAGCAAATGCATACCAAATAAGAAGCGATGAATATCCCGTCTAAATTTGCATATTCCATTCGAATTCTCGATTTGCATGACGCCAAAAGGTGTCAATTTTCTTTGCGTCGGGGGTCGGATTACATTTATCGGGAAACTCGCTTGTTTTTGTACCATAAAGAGAAGAAAGAAAAGGACGGGGGCGTCGAAAATTCATTCTATTTTGGTGAAGAATCTTTTGGTCAAGGGGCACTCCTTGATTTCCATATTAAGAATACGATTTCTCCGCTATCTGAGCGGTCTTTTATTTCTTTTACAACCGTGTTATCAGACCAGGACGTTTGCCTACACTCAAATTCATATCAATTTAGACCTCAGACCAGAGGAAATTAAAGGTTTTATTGATAAAATTTTTTGATTTTTTGCACTGTGCAAAATTTTTTTGATTGCACTGTGCAAAAAATTTTTTTACTGCACAGTGCAATTTTTTTCACTGCACTGTGCAAAAAATTTTTCTAACCGCACCGTGCAAAATTCTTTCTCACTGCACTGTGCGAGAAATTTTTTGAATGCACGGTGCAAAAAATTTTTGGCTGCACTGTGCAAAAAATTTTTTTCTGCACTGTGCGAAACTTTTTTTGAGATTGCACCGTGCAAAATTTTTTTTATTGCACTGTGCAAAATTCTTTCTCACTGCACTGTGCGAAAAATTTTTTGAATGCACCGTGCAAAATATTTTCGTATTGCACTGTGCAAAATTTTTTTTTGCTGCACGGTGCAAAAAAATTTCGACTGCACTGTGCAAAAAAACTTTTTAACCGCACTGTGCAAAATCCTTGAAAAATTTGCCATTTTGAACACCAAAAATTTTTCTCATCCACTTTTTTGTGTCTAGACGTTCAAACATTTCAATCTTTCTACTTTATTTTACCATTTCTCCCAACTTTTTTTGCAGTGGGCAGACTGTTTATAAAACCGTTGACTCATAGTGTCTCAAATTTGTTTGATTTGCAAAGGAAATATGTTGGCGTGGGGGCTTTTTATTGTGCGGGTTCGACGTTCTCCTTAGGCCGGTCGGATTTGTAGTTTAAGGCGCTGAAGTGAGGTGGTGTAAATTTCGATATTTGATATGAATTTGGTCTAAAAATAGGCTGAGTGCTGGTTGCAAATTGTGTGGGAAGCTTTTAGAGACTGTTTACAGTAGCTTCTTTCTTTTCTTACAGTTTAATTTTTAGTTTTTTACCAAAATTTATATTGTACTAGACATCAGCTCACAAAAATGCCTATTTTACCTATTTTTCGATCAAATTCGTAGATTTTTTGATTTCCTAGACGTCAAGTAGGATAGTAAGTTGCATTTTGAATAGGAAGAATTGAGTTTTCATCTGAATTTTACAGCATACTAACTATTTTTTAACTTTGATGACTTTTCAAAATTATGGTCTAAAAATGCGAATGCCGTAAAAAATGATGTCTAAAATAATATTTACAGCCCATGTTGTGTCTCTAGCTCGTGGATTTTCTATTCTGTAACGAATTTACTTTTGGTTACAAACGTTTTTTTTACATTTTTTTTTGAGATTTTTCGAAGTTTTTCAAACTTTTTTTCTGTCGGGAAAATAACGAGCACAATGTCGCTGCGCAAATCTTGTCGCTGAAGTGAAAAGCAATTTGATTTTTTTGCGATACAATTCATTCTTTGCGATTTTCGATCTGGCTGAATGCTCATTATTTTCCCGACAAACCGATATCTTGTGATTTCTGGAGAAAACTTGCCTAGCCTCTTCTATTCCACACTCTAAGACAACTCCAGCTCTTGAGACTCTTGCCAAATTCTCACCTCAACCCCTTCTACCCTTGCATTTTTTCTCGGCGGGAGCTCAATCCCCCCTCCCTTCCTTGCTTCGGCCGGTCTCATTTTTTTCGAATTTTTGCCTCTTTTACCGGCCCTGTTTGTTCACGTTTCGGAATTAAACAGGGGAGTGGTGGAAGAAGAAGAAGAATGCGACACCGAGTACTCATGAGGGTTAATGGTCTTTCTGTCCGCCTCTTCGTCTTCGTCGCGACCCGCTCTCCGCTCGCTCCACCCGTCACTTTGTGGCCGCAAAAAACAAAGGACGAACTCGCGGCTGATATCATGCGCTAATCGCGACCGAGTTTCCGGGATTTCTGGGATGTTTTTGTGGCTTATTGTTTGACTAGCGACCTGTAGTGGAGATTAGGATTGGGATTTTTTGGGGGAGTTCTTGCAAAGGGATGTGATGAGTCATGTTGGAGATGAATTTTTAGGATGTCAGATAAGCGATAAGCTTTTGTTTTTTCCATTTCGTAACAGGTTGGGGACACTCTTTTCTTCACTGTACACGATGTTATCTAGTCTTGCTTTTCTAGGACACATTTTATACGAAAAAGAAAAAATCATACTTTTTCGGCTTTCAAAAGTTTTTATCGTATAAAATGTCCCCCTTATCAGGATGGTTTAGATGTTTATTTTTTATGAGTTCTCTGGCTCACCATCTATTTCCAAAAACAAAATTTTTCCTCAATTTTCCTTAAGGATCTTCAATAAGTGACATTTTATACGATGTCTCCGAGAGATCCAAACTTTTGCTTCTTTTCAATTTTTATCGTATAAAATGCCACCGTCTGCAGAATTGTCTAGGTATTTTTGCTTTTTGCATTCTCAGACTCACCATCTTTCTCAAAAAACAATTTTTTCCTTCATCCTGCCTTAGGGCTCTTCGAAATGTGACATTTTATACGATGCCTCCAAAAATCCCAACGTTTACTTCTTTTCCATTTTCATCGTATAAAATGTCACTTATGTTGGATTTTTAAAAACACTACACCGACCTGACTTCAATACCCTCTCCAACGCATAATTTATTCCATTCAAATACATGAGTATCTTGCACTTTTCGTCATCTTCCCATCAAAGTTCCCATGAAGCCCCCGTTTACCGTACGACCCGGCTTGAATAAACTTAATTACCTGCCGCGTAATAAGCACACAAGCCCAAACGTTCGTTCGGATGTGTTAGCAGTCGCCGTGGGCGCACTAATACACATTTTAATTTCGTTTTCGGTTTCCTTGAGGGGCTTCGCTTGACTTTACTCGGAACCGCGGGCCCTCGGACTTGCGAAACGCCCTGAGACGGAATTAAACTCGGCCCCAAGTGTGTTGGTGTAATTGCATTGTAGCATGGTGTTGCTTTTTATGGGCCTTGACGAGTATTTTGAGTGCTTCTTGAAGCCGTTTACGGGCCGGTTTGGGGGCTAAAATAAGGTGCAGATAAAAGGGTTCGTATCAAAAAGTTGGTACTACATACTATGTAAATTGTATTCGTATCTGAAAGAAAACGTCATGGGTTCGCTGTAAAGAGGATTTTTTTCTTGTACAAGCTCGGTTATCCTGTCATACATCAGTATATTCACCATGGCCTTTAGTCTTGAAGGCTTTTGAAAAATGGCTTATAGTAAAATTTGGGAGATGTGTCCTGAAACGTTATGGCTTTTCTAAGATTTTACAGAGCTCAGAGTTCTTGTGTTACTATATTGCATCGTCTTGCCTGAGGCAATTTTTTCAAAAATCACTTTTTTCAAGAACCGTCTTTTCTCGTTGAAATTTCTAAATGTCGTATTAAAATCGTATTTTAGAACGCTATAGAGGGTTACGTCATGGCTTAAAATTAACTATGAATCTTTTGCTATCTTCTGCTATCATTTAATCCATCAAAACCCTTCAATTTTTTCCATAAATCGCCATTTTCCCCAGCTTCTTCTGTTCGCGTACTTCAATATCCCCAACCCCCAACTGACCTTTTCCCCTACACTTCAGGCGCGTCGGAGGAGCGATTCCCGACGGTGAATGACCTGCAGCGTCTCCTGATGATGAGTCCCACGCTGGCCCATCAACGCAAACCCGCCACGATGCTGGACAAACTGCCCAAGATCGAAGCGCCCTCGCCCACCGGCAAGAAGTCGTGCGAGACGCTGAAGACGCCGGACGGGCGCCGCATCACCCTGAAAAACAACCAGCAGATGAGTTGTTTGCGGCTGGTGGAGCCGAATGACTTCCTGAAGACGCCGACGTCGGCGCGCACGCCCACCATCCAGTCGCCGCTGAAGACGGCCGCGTCGCTGGTGCACGCGGACGACTTGAACACGCCGAGTTTGTGTTTGAGCAGCGCCACGCCGAAGAACGCGGTGCAGGCGTTCTTCGGCGACCACGAGCCCTTGCTGACGGGTAAGGGCGAAGCGAGGAGGTTGCACGAAATTTGCTTACTTTGAAATTTGAATTTTTTTTTGCAAAAATTTGCATAATTTTTTTTTAAAAAAAAGTTTGAATTTTCAAATTTTCACTGGGAAAACGATAAAAAATGTGTCAAAATTTATTTTTAAAATACGTAGTGCGTATTTTGTACGAAATTATTACCAAAAATTTGCATATTCAAAAGATTTGAATATTCAAATTTTTTAAAAATTATTCAAATTTAAAAAAATATCTCTTCAAATCAATCAAAAAACATAAAATTAAAAAAAAGTATTTTTTAAAAATTTGCATAAACCAAAAAAAGTACAGAATAATGATTTTCCGCTTTTAGCGAATATCGAAATTTCCACAGTGGTGTCGCAATCAACGACAACTGCTCAAAGTACGTAAATGATTAGTCGACGTTCTTGTCTGTGCTGTGAATCTTTCTAGGCCATTTACCATGTTATTTTGCCAAAATTACTCTGGGTTTTTTCGGAAATTTGCAATTTTTCGGCAGTAAATTGGTGACGGCTTCTTTTAGTGTTAGAAAACTGTAGTCTGTGTAAACTATATGAACCTGAGAAGACTTGTAGAGCAATTTTGACTTGTTTTCAGCCTCGACAGCGCAATCTACAGCAAGCGAAGCCACCTCGACCAATGCCGACCCGTCCGTCAATCAGGCCAAGGACCACAAAACGAACACCACTTTCACCATCAAAGGAAGCATCAGCACGTCGCCCGGACTGAGTGCAACTCTTTTCCAATTCTCTCCCATCGTTGAACACTTTCTACATTCCTTCAAAACCCCCAACCTCCTCAATATGGACGCAAAAACTGAAAATGAGCTTGATAAAGTGAGTCAAACTAGTTTTTACCAACATAATTTTGTATACAAAGGAGCATTGACCTTATTGAAACGTAGCATTGTTATTTCCGGCCATTTCGTATTCCGCACGGTGCAAAAATTTGAAAAAGAGTGACCGCACTGTGCGAAAATAAAAAATTTCCGATTGCACAGTGCAGAGATGAAAATTTCGGAATTTTTTGGTGTCACATGTGTAAATTACACCTATGCGTTCATTGCGGTATCATTTTTGGCCATTTTGTATTATGCACGGTGCAAAAATTTGAAAAAAATGGCTGCACAGTGCGAAAATAAAAAAGTTCTGACTGCACAGTGCAGAGATGAAATTTTTGATATTTTTGGCATTGACTATGTTTATTACACCTCAGCGTTTATTAGGGCACCATCTTTGGCCATTTTGTACTACGCACGGTGCAAAAATTTGAAAAAGATTGACCGCACTGTGCGAAAATAAAAAATTCCCGATTGCACAGTGCAGAGATGAAATTTTTGAAAATTTTTGCAACGCATATGTAAATTACAAACATTTTACTGTCAAATTTATATACTACTCACGTTTCTGCACATCGCAATAATCTCAATTTTCTCACCGCACAGTGCAATTTCCATCTTCCAAGTTTCTGCACAGTGCAATGCGAAAAAATTATTTTTATCGCTTGCAAAGATTGTAAAATCAATTTTTCAGGAGAAAAAATCGCATGAATCCGGCGATTACATGGGGCAGAAATGCCAGAGCGGCAAATGCTCAACCTCTTCGGAGCCCAGTTTCAGCACCCATCAGATGAATTACACTCACATTAAGGAAGAGCCCAACACTCATACGCAATTGGGACTGCCTGTCGGATATCAGGTAGGTTACTTTTGGGCGATTTTTTGGTCGAATTTTTTTTTCGATTTTTGAAATTTTTTTTTTTTTTTTTTTTTTTTTCTAAATTCTCGAAAGGACAATGAAAGGATGCAGGCAATTTTCCGAACGTATTTTACCCAAATTTGTAACAGGAAATCCCTCTTTTTCAATGAAAAATTCAAAAAATTTTGTTTCAGATCCACCAAAGCTTCAGCTGCTCAGTGGTCCCCTTCCCCGACAACCCTCAACTCCCTCGCACCTCACTGGAAGCCCAATCCTTTACGAATATCACTCCTTCCGCCTCCAACGCGCCCTCCGCCGCACCCTCTCGACCCGCCTCCACGATGAACATGGCGGGCGGATTTCAGCCGAAGCTCGAGCCAATGGACGACTACTACCCCATGTCGCAGTACCCCGGCCCCAGCATGTTCAGCGAGGAGTACTACGAGAATGTGGGGATGCCGCTGCAGGACAGTCATTCGCCCTCCGGCAACTCGCCGGTCCAGTCGACACGGCGACGGATGAGCAATCGGCCGTCCAAAACCCCGTTGCAGGATCGACCCCACAAGTGTCCGAAACCGGACTGTGATCGGCGGTTTAGTCGGTCGGATGAGTTGACAAGACATATTCGGATACACACTGGTCAGAAACCCTTCCAGGTAAAATTTTTATTTTTTTACAAAATTAAAAAAAAAAAAAAAAAAAATTTTTATTTTTCATCACGTGCTTGAAAAAGACGTATTTTACCCAACTTTTAAATACATCCAAGCCTTAAAAATTCGTATTTTACAATGCAATTTTCTCCGCACAGTGCAAAAAAATTTTTTTTGAAAAAACAAAACCCGCACAGTGCGAAATCTTTAGATCATTGAAACATTGGATTTTCAGCGACATCATCAAGTTTGAAAAATTTCTTTATAACTGTTATCGTTTCTTTTTGCAATCCGTATTTTACAAACCCTCAAAAATGTAAAACTTTTTCGCACAGTGCATAATTTGACTCTTCTATTTTTCGCACCGTGCAAAAAATTTTTTTGTTTTTTCTCGTGGTTTTGGAAATTTATACACGGATGATACATCTTACTATCTTAGACTGTCAATTTCCAACGCATTGCTTTCAATTTTTATGCCAAGAGTTTTGTACAGTGCGAGATTTTTTAATTTCTTATTTTTGCACAGTGCAATGCAAATTTTGAACAATTTTTTGGCGCAGTTCGAAAAAATGCTACATTTTTTGGTCATTTATGCCCTAAGGCAGACAAAATAAACCTAGAACATCCAAAAAAAAGGTCAAATTTATAGGAAACTACTGTATTTTTTGATTTTTATTTTTCGCACAGTGCAGAAATTTTCGAAAAAAACTGCCTAAATTTCCTATCCAAAAAAAATTTTTTGACCCCCCAGATTGTACTACATCATTTTTACACTTAATATTTTTAGTGTCGAATCTGTTCCCGCTCGTTTTCGCGGTCCGACCATCTCACAACGCACGTCCGAACCCACACCGGAGAAAAGCCCTTCACCTGCGACGTTTGTGGGCGCAAATTCGCGCGCTCCGACGAACGGAAACGCCATGCCAAGGTGCATTCGAAGCAGAAGAATGGCCGGAGGCAGTCGATCTCGTCGGTGGGAAGTGGGTCCAGTCTGTCCAATCTGCCAGGTATGAATGCTTCCAGCATCTTCGAGGAGGCGCTGTCTGCTCTGTAGATTCTTTTTGTTGTAAAAATCTTGACTCAATTCTGACTACTTCTTACCGGTTATTTCGAAATTTTGTCTTTGAAGAGTTTGATTTTTTATTTTATGAAATTCCTGTCAATGCACAGTGCAGTATTGAGAAAATTTTTGCACAGTGCGAAAGGAAAAAAATTATTGCACAGTGCGGCGTGAAAAAGTTTGTCGCACTTTTTCTGCACTGTGCAATTTGTCGCACTTTTTTTTGCACTGTGCAGTTTGTCGCATCTTGGGTTGCACTGTGCAATTTGTCGCACTTTTTTTGCACTGTGCAGTTTGTCGCATTTTGGGTTGCACTGTGCAATTTATCGCTTCTTTCGCACAGTGCGATCTTTTTTGGACCGCACTGTGCAATAATTTTTTTAGACCGCACTGTGCATTATTTTTTGGACCGCACTGTGCAATATTTTCTGGACTGCACTGTGCAATGATTTTCTTGGACCGCACTGTGCAAAACTCAAAAATCATTAAATTTTTCAACGAAACATGGATTTTTAATAAAATTTTTTTCTAAATATTGCATTTACTAGTCTTTTTCTAAATTCTGAACGCACTGTTTGCTTTAATTTTACTAGAAATCTTACTGTAATTTTGGATTTTTCCTACTGTAAAATTTTAAAATTTTTTCCTTTCTAATATTGTAAATCACTACCTTATCTAGTCCTAACTTGTTCGAAAATGATTTTTTCCGTCTCTAGGGCTTGTTCTGTCCCGACTTTTTTGTGGAATTTCGACTAACCACTGACTGTTTCTGTGTTTTTTAAGGTTTCGAACAATAACTTACCATGCACACAGCACGACATGATGGCACATTCACAAAGACATTGACGAGGCAAATTTCTTCGGCTAGCCGAGCTTCTGGTTCGACGGAAATGGGATTTCTTTCGGGAATTTTTGAGATTTTTTTATTTTTTTGTGTTACAGTAAGATTTTACGTGTTGTAGTGGGTGTAAATTTTTGTGTGAGGTGTATAGAGTGTGCGGACTGGATTTTATGAAATTTTTAGCGAAATTTTTGCCTTTATGAAAAATTACAGTAATTTTTCAAATTTTCAAAAAATCGTATTTTAGAAGTTCCAAATATTGTAAATTACCGTAACTGAGCTAAAGACACATTATCTAACCCGCACACACTCTATTCATCCCACATCCGACATCAAACACCCCACTTTTCCTGTTCCTAATGTCGTTCGTATAAAATGTCACCCACCTCAAAAACCGTTGTTCTCGTGAACTTTGTCCTCGTCGAGCCGTCTGCTTCTGATCAGAGCAAGCCCTAGAGCCCAGTGTTTCTTTATATCTTCGACTCATTTCGATTGACCTCGGTTATAAATTATTGTAGTAAGTCTTGTAGTCCAATGTAGATGACGTTCTCCACACATTCCGGTGAAAATTCGACTCTGATACTGCTGTAATTTTGAGATTGTGAGTGTCGAAGGGTATTTCGATACTTTTTGAGGTTTTTTTGGAAATGTTTTATTATGCAAATTTTTGAGATTTTTTGAAAAATATTCAAATTTTGGTAAATTTAATCGCTGAAAATGATAAAAATAGCTTAATTTTCTCTTTGATTGCAAAAATTTCGGGCCTTTTTGATCAAAAAATCTCAAAAAATGTAATTTTTAAAATCCGTATTTTACAAAAAATCCAAATATTTTTCGCTCTCCACAACCTCCCCCACACCTATGTGAAATCGCACACACATCAGGGTGCATTGCAACTTTTAATTCGTTTGATTTCGACCCATTTCTATCACATATTCTCCTTTAATAATATCTATTCGTTCTCTCTAAAAAATTGATCCCGGTTTATTGTTCAAGACTTCTTGGAATACATTGTTGTTACGTAATATGAATAAACATTACATTGATGACGACAAATTTATTGAATTTTGATACTGAATTTATTTATTTTTCAATCAAAAAAGATCAGGGTTTTGTCAAATTTCGCAATTTTTCGTCAATAAAACGGCGATGATTTGGCTCAATAATCTCCTGAAAGTAAGTGTAGACGTCGTAAAAGAGTTGTAGATTGAAAAAATTACCTTTACACCCTGCTCAAGATATTTTGCGAAGCCGGAGGCGTTGAATCCAATAACAACTCCACCAATTGGCAACATCAATTGAAGACCATATTCATCACCTCTCTGACTATCTTGAGTCAGCTAAAAACAAAATTGAAACACATATTCTACTGTAATAGTCATCAAAAAAATCAATTATTTAGTGCACTGTGCAGACTTTTCATTCCTAACAAAACGCACTGTGCAGCAGAAAAATTGTAACAAAATCGTATTTTCCGTGATCCTAGTGATGCTATGAATAGCTAAATTCAACCAGCAAGTCTCAAAGAGCATATTTGAGGTCAAAAACGACCAATATTTTGACTGCACTGTGCAGATTTTTCATTCCTAAACAAACGCACTGTGCAGCAGAAAAATTGTAACAAAATTGCATTTTCCATGATCCTAGTGATGCTGTTGATAGATAAAATTAAAAGCGCAAGTCTCAAAGGGCATATTTGTGGTCAAAAACGACCAATATTTTGACTGCACTGTGCGGATTTTCGTTTCTCCAAAAACGCACTGTGCAGCAGAAAAATTGTAACAAAATCGCATTTTTCATGATCCTAGTGATGCTATGAATAGCTAAATTCAACCAGCAAGTCTCAAAGAGGATATTTGTATTCAAAAACGACCAATATTTTGACTGCACTGTGCGGATTTTTCATTCCTAAAAAAACGCACTGTGCAGCAGAAAAATGTAACAAAATCGCATTTTCCATGATCCTAGTGATGCTATGAATAGCTAAATTCAACCAGCAAGTCTCAAACAGCATATTTGTATTCAAAAACGACCAATATTTTGACTGCACTGTGCGGATTTCCGTTTCTCCAAAAACGCACTGTGCAGTAAAATATTCGTAAAAATTGCAATTTCAATGAATTTTAGTGATGCTGCTACTGCCCAAACTCAAAGAGCAAGTATCTTCTAACATATTTCTAATCAAAAACCACCCATATTTCGACTGCACTGTGCGGATTTTTTATGTCCCAAAATCGCACTGTGCAACCAAAATTAGTCGTAAATATCGCACTGTACAGAAATTTCAGACCGTCTAGCAATTACTAAAATTAAGAAACAGATGGCAGAAGACAGCACTGCTCCAAAAACCTGCAATTATACCGTTGCACTGCGCGAGAAAACAAAGCTTTTTTATTGCACCGTGCAGGAGTAGTTTCCGATTGAAAATGCACTGTGCAATGGCCAAATGGGTTTCTGTTTACACTTCAGTGAAAGAAAAAGAGCCTTTTGAATTTTTCAATCAAAAAATCATCCAAAAAAACTTTGCACAGTGCAAAAATTTATCTCTGTTTCCTGCACAGTGCAATTTTTCAAACTTTTACGAAACATTCCAAAACGTTTTACCATTCAAACAAACAATTAAGGACAGCACCAAAAGCATACGAATTACAAATTTATTCTAAAAAAACTCTCAGAGCGGCAATTCGTATTCAGGGGGTGTCGGAGATAGTGAGCAAAAGGTAGCTGATGCCGTTCTTGTCATATGCGTCCAAGAGCTCAGAACTGGAGCGGCGGAATTTCTGAAACGCCGTATTCATTATTTACAGTCAAAACAATTAGATTAGCAGATTGCACTGTGCAGAAAATAAAGTGGAAAAATTGCACTGTGCCAAGAAAAAGATTGGTGTATGCACAGTGCAGTGTTTGGAAAAAGTAGATGGCACAGTGTAAGGCGAAAATATGACCATAAATAGACCTGTAGGGCAAATTTAATCCCAGCGAAATAACTGGAGAGTGCAAAAATAAAATTTTATTTTTGCACTGTGCAAAAAATAAATTTTTTTCACTGCACAATGCAAAAATAAAAATTTTTGTAACTGCACGGTGCGAAAATAAATTTTTGTCAATGAACAGTGCAAAAATAAAAATGCTTGCCATTGCACCGTGCAAATGTCAAAAAAATCTTTTGCACTGTGCAAATCAAAAAATAAGATAAAAAATGTCTCGCACTGTGCAAAAAATTTTCATAAACTCTTCTGTCGTGCGGAAAATCCCATTTTTAATAAAAAATTTTCTGCACAGTGTAATCTCAAAATTACAAAAATGGAAACGCTTCGATGCTTCCTTACCTTAAGGGGTCTATCGGACAACAATCTAGCGCGTGGCCCGTTCTCTCTCATCTTCTTATGAATCGTATCCAAGATCTTCTGCGTGCTCATCTGACTCTTCTAAAAAAATTAAAAATAAAAATCCAAAACAACCAAAAAATTTTTTGACTACTGTCCGAGCTGGCTCACTCTCAGTCCTTTATTCAAATCATCAGCGATTCCTTGAGTGTCCAGACCCACGGCGACACTGGAAACCGGGACTTCAAGCTTGATGACTTGGGCTTCGAAGATATCGGCAGGGAAGTCGATGGCAGATCCATTCGAAGGGACTGGAGGCTCATCAGAAGATACTGGAGGAGCAGACTCTGATTCTTGAGGAAGTGTAGAGGATTCGGGAGCCTCAGATGGGGCTGCAGGCTGCTCGGAAGGAGCCGGGGGGTCTGAAGGTTCCCCGGTAGCAGGTGCGGGTTGCTCTTCAGTGTTGCGACCTGGCTCTAAAGGCTGATGAGGAGTTGTAGTCTCTTGGCCACCACCTCCTCCAGGCTCTGCTGTTGCATCCTGCGAATTGACGCCGGAAACCAAAAGAATCGCCACCAACGCAAAAGACATCAACAAATCTCGCTTCATCGTGCCACGACTTGGACTTGGCTTCAGTTCAGGACAGAGTCGTTTCGTCGGACCGTCAACCAAGAGCAGCAAAGAAAACAATGAAATGGGCCGGGAATCGAAAATTCCCATCGAAAAACAAAAGTTCAAAAACTTTGTGTAAAAGTGTCCTAATTATGCAAATTCACCTTCATTTTTCCGAAATTGTCAATGATTTTTTAAAAATCGTTGAAATTTGCATAACACGGGATAAGTCCCTGAGTCTCACCACGAAAACAAGCAACTGCCAAAAAATAGTGCGGAATGCCAGGGATTTTGTTGTTCTTGATCAAAAAAAGAACTTTGTTGAAGATCTCGTCCAGTTTTGATAATTTTAGATAGGAAAATTACTATTTTAATAGCTTATATTGTTTTAGATGGCAGCGGCACGCCATTTGTTGCTTCAGCCGCTGCGGCTTGGCGCGCACGCCGCCAGGTCCACCCGAAACTCCACTATCTGGTTTCCGGATGCCAAATTTATGAGGGAGTACAAAGTAAGTTAATTTCCTTTCTTGTTTTATGTGTTTAGACAGGCCGTGCTGAGTATCGTTTATTTTTGATGCGACCATCTCTGAATTTTTCAGAAACTTGGAGAAGCCGGTCTGGTCAACTTCCCCTATGAGGATAGTCAAATGGAAAGGGACCTGGGCGCCAAGAAGTTGTTGGAGGAGTATCAAAAGCTGCCAATGATGGCGGACAACCTCGTTGGACCTCATCGAGAGAAACAGTTCGAAAATATGATCCTCAACTTTGGTCCACAGCATCCTGCCGCTCACGGTGTGCTTCGATTGGTCTTGAAGTTGGAAGGAGAGGTATGGAGTTTTCTTTCGTTTTGTTTCTGGATTTTAGGTGATGGTGAAGGTAAATGTCGATGGATTAGGCGGTTTTTGTCCGGATAGCGTGGCAGAACTTTTTCGAGAGCTGTGTACGAGGGTTTTCGTCCCTCGTAAACAGTTTTTAGAGATTTTCTAGCTGTAATCTTTTTGTGGCAGCTTTTTTATGTTATACATGCGACTTTTGAGAATGTTACTGGAAATGTATACATTGAACTCGAATTCAGCTAATTTACAGATTCTTAAAGGTTGCATTAGCTTTAGAGAGGGTTTATATTGATACTCAATATTTGTTTTCTTCAAAATTCTCTAAAGGCAACCGAATATTCACGTTTCTTCTTCTCCATAACCTCATGATCTTAATTTCAGGCAGTGATCAAAGCTATTCCCCACATTGGTCTTCTTCATCGAGCTACTGAGAAGCTAATCGAACACAAGACCTATACTCAAGCTCTCCCTTACTTTGATCGGTTGGATTATGTCTCCATGATGAACAATGAGCAAACCTTTGCCTTGGCCATTGAGAAGTTACTGGGAATTGATATTCCACCAAGAGCCAAGTGGATTCGAAGTGAGTTTTGTTTTATTTTTTGTGTTTGTACTTTTAGGATGAACGAAGAGGAAATAATTGGCCAACTGACGAAAAGTTTATATTGTACTAGACAAAAAATCAATCTTTCGGGATTTGGCTCTTATTTTTGAAAATTTTCAGCCCTATTTGCCGAGTTGACCCGTATCCAGAACCATATTATGGGTTTGACCACACACGCTTTGGATATCGGAGCTATGACTCCATTCTTCTGGCTTTTCGAGGAACGCGAGAAACTTTTCGAATTCTCCGAGCGAGTGTGCGGCGCTCGAATGCACGCGAATTATGTTCGACCTGGAGGTGTGGCATGGGATCTGCCTCTGGGACTGCTAGACGATATCTACGATTGGGCCGTCAAATTTCCCCAAAGAATTGATGAACTTGAAGATGTTTTGACTGAAAATCGTATCTGGAAGAAGAGAACCATCGATATTGGAATCGTCAATGCCGCTGATGCAGTGAACTGGGGATTCTCCGGGGTTATGTTGAGAGGATCGGGGATTAAATGGGATTTGAGGAAGACCCAGCCTTATGATGCCTATGATCAAGTGGAATTTGATGTCCCAATCGGAACCAAAGGAGATTGTTATGATAGGTATGGTTTTAAAACGTTGATCTGGGTCTGTTACTGTCTGTGGTAAAATATGGCAGCTGTTGAACATTTCTCATTTGAGTAATAATTAAAAATTTATATTATACTTGACCATCAGATGATTTTTTTGCAAAAACTGTATTTTTTATGCTGTATTATATAGAAACTGTTGTTAAAATGAGATTGCGGTTGTTTGTCAACTAAATTTTGTTATTTCAGATACCTGTGTCGTGTAGAAGAGATGCGCCAGTCCTTGAATATTATCCTTCAATGCCTGAACAAAATGCCCGAGGGTGAAGTGAAAGTTGATGATAAGAAGGTGGTACCTCCAAACCGGGCGGAAATGAAAGTAAGTATTGTTTTTCTTTGTTTGTTTGAAGTTTAGAGGCGATTTGGATATTACACTTGGCATCTTTGGCTAAACAAGAGTTTTGGATGTTTTTTTGATGTCAAGTCCAAAATGAAGCCTGATTTTGATCAAACAATGTGATGTAAACTTTGTCTAATTCCAGGACAGCATGGAGAGCTTAATCCATCACTTCAAATTCTTCACCGAAGGCTTCCAAGTCCCTCCAGGCGCCACCTACACCGCCACCGAATGTCCGAAGGGTGAGTTTGGAGTCTACCTGGTCGCCGACGGCACCTCGAAGCCGTACCGATGCTATATCCGCGCTCCCGGCTTCGCTCATCTCGCCAAAATCCACGACATTACCTACATGAGTCTGGTGGCGGATGTGGTTGCTGTGATCGGAACCATGGATGTAGTGTTCGGAGAGGTGGATCGTTAAGCATTGCAACGTTTGAATAGGAAGATACAGTTGTAATTAACAATAAATTGAAAATTTTACTGGTTGGAGAGGGTTTCCGACATTTTTTTTTATTTCGCACAGTGCATTTTGAACCTTTTCCCACGCTTCTCGCCAACGCACAGTGCCGCTCTCGTTACGTTTCAATTTTATAAAATAATCGCGAGAAGCCAAAGATTTATCACAATCTATTATATTATAAAAATAACTACAAATAGCCCTACGACAAATAAAATAACGAAAAATATTGTCTAACAAGGGATCGGCAAATAGTTGTAACCTGCTTTCTTAACGAAACCTATATCATTTGAAAGAGGCTTAAAAATAGTTCACAGCGCAAAAAGAATTAGCTGCCTAAATTCACTTTGGACAAAGTTATGGCCAAAATACAGATTTTAGCCTAATTTCCGCCTCGCTTTATAAGCTCTCGGAATGGCAACAGAGTTGTGTCCAGTTGGCCGAGTGGTAGTGAGCCCACTTCCGGCTCAGCGAGTCCTGGTTTCGAATCCGGTCTCTGTAAATATTTTTCGTTTCGTCTCTTATATGCCACAAAACCATGGTATGTTGACATTTTTTAATAATTTTTGTTCCTCCGCAGACAAAATCCATGGTTACGTAATTTTTCTGAGATTTTGAATTTTTTTGAAACGACCACAAATTTGATGGTGATGAGAGTGGGTATGTCACTATCGTATAATTACAAGGGTGTTGTGCCAGTAACCTGACCGATTATGATTACTGGAGGATTATTCAATTTAGAAGGGCCTATAAATATACATTTTTTCGAAAAAATACGAAGATAAAATTGTAAAATCGGCCAAAGACACTATTGCTGACACAGTGGACCAACCATTGGTAAGGCTAGGACGTAAGAAATTTTCGATTTTGAAATTTTCGTTTGTGAATGACCACTACGATCATATAAATGTATTTCCAAAGCTTTTTGCTCTAATTTTCCCTTTAACCTAGTTTTATTTACAATTTAATGTAACTAGCAGTAATGTCTAATAACATATAACCGAGGATTGGTAAAGCCATAAAACGACCGCGATAGACGTTTTTGGATACCAGGAAATTAATAAAGACGATTTCAAACCGCCAGGACTACTGTAATATAAGGAACCGGCGTTTTGGCCGCATATAACCCCTTTCAAAAAGCGGTCGTATCTATGCCCTAAGGTAATTTAGGCAGCTAATTTTTTTGCGCTGTGCACTATTTTTAATGCTCTTTCAAACGGTATATGTTTCGTTAAGAAAGCAGGGTGCAACTATTTGCCGATCCCTTGTAAATATACAAACAAGAAGGATGAATCCAATAATTTTGTATTTGATCCGTTGAAAGTCTGCGTGGAAAACTTTGAAGGTGTTGTTATGGAGGTCAATAGCCATATCCGTTGTTTACATTGAGCTGAAACATGGAATGTAGAAAATGTAAAGAAAGTTGTGAAGAAACGAAAAAATCGCTGTATAAAGAATACCAATGGACTAATTTTTTCGTTGTACGAGAGGCTTGATGTGATTTGGGAGTTTTTTTTACATCGAACCCCTTCGAGAACGAATAAAATGTTCAGTCGATTGGGATTCGTTATACAAAGACTTGGTCGAAACATGCAGTGCGGGAGAGGATGCAGTGGCCCAAAGCGCTTCCATTGCGTCCACGAGACATTCGGAATACCACTGAATACTTTTCTCTGCCCGAAAAGTAGCGTTCTTCTGTAGAAAGAGCGAGAAGGTAGTACCTTTGAATAAGGAAACTTCTTCGTTCTCTCTTCAAAAGAAAGCTGTTTTTCGGGCAGAGATCGCGGTATTCAGTAGTATTCCGAATGTCTCCTGGACGCAATTGGAAGCGCTTTTGGCCACTGCATCCCCTCTCCCGCACTGCATATTTCAACCAAGTCTAAAATATAACAAATCCCAATCGACGAAGGGGTTCGATGTATAATAAAAAACTCCCAAATCACACCAAGCCTCTTCTACGACGAAAAAAATTTGTCCCTTGGGATTCGTTATAGAGCGAGATTTCTCGTCGGTACCTGTGATTGTGTGGGGCTGACATTGGTCTGCTCCTCGTATTCGGCCCGTTGCGCTTTGTCTCGGCCCCTGTTGACCAGCCAAACGCACATCCAAATGCAGAAGACGATCAAGACAATAATTGCGAATATTATTATCAAAGCCAACGCCGCCGCAAATTTGGCATTCCAAGAGGCGTTCTCACAACAACCGCCATCACAACAGCCCAGGTCAACGTAGCATTGCTCGATGACTTGTTGACCGGTCGCTTGAAAACCGTAAATGCAGTCGAGATAATTGGGATCGGCTTCTAGAAATAGTGCTTTCTGTTGTATTATAGCAAAAAAATTTGAGAAATTCGAGTTTGTTTTTTTTTTAAAATACGAAGTTCCTCTTTGAGAAAGGACATCAGGGATGGTCTTAGTAGCAACGAGATTGTATGGCATTTTTGGTCTAGAGAAATTACGGTCGATTTTTATGGACGAAATTACAAGAGCAGTCTGTCGGGAAATAATGTGTCTATCTCGCACGATACAATTCATTTTCTCGCCGGCGTTGCGACTTTCGATGCGACAGAGTGCGCATTATTTTCCCGACAGACTGAGAATACTATGTTACGGTAGTCTGGCGATAAAAATCAGCGATTTTTCGATTCCTGTGTATCAATAGCTCCTTTCTTCCAGGCTTTGTCTCAGTCGGCTCATGACTGCCTCGGAAGTGCAAAGCCGCATTTTGTGAAAAATATGCCTTCCGGGGATAATTGGGAAAAATATTTTTGGTCTGTTACTGAATCGCTAGCGCTTATTTTCAGCCAAAAAATCTCAGAATCAAGTTTTTCGTAAGAATGCGTCTCACTTTCGGTTGTAATGGCGCAAAAATCGGGTTTTACATAGGCTAAAAAGACAATATCTTTCTGTAACTTACCACTAGGCCTCTGGTCTTGTAACGTTGCTCCAACCAAACTTTGTCCTCCCGAATCTGACAGTTGGTAGGATGGGGCGTCGAATTGCCGGGTATTCACTGGCTGGATAATATGAGGGACATATTGGAACCCTGAAACATCGGTTTAGTTTCCTGGTGTATTATTTTATGCAGAAAGAAGCAGTGATATCTTTTAAAATACGTATTGTAAATTGATCATGCTTAATATACCTGGTGTATCCCATCGAGACCACGGTGAGCGCTGTTCCTGTGCCATTTAGTACTTATAATAGTCGCGATTACTGGCGTTGCGCCAGCAATCGTTTTATGGGCCTCCGTATAGCGTGTTGAGTTCGACGGATGTTGAACTGAGATGTGAAAAGTTTTAACAAAATAAATGTTACAGTCAATTAACGTTGTAAAATACGTGACGAAATAAAGGGAAAGAGTTGATTAAAGGACTTTACCGCAACCTCTAACTAGGGAAGTGTAACTGACCCCCACCAAAGACAAGTGTTATACAACGTTGGAAAGCCCTTGAAAAGTTTTTTCCCAAGCTGTGAATTGAACTGGCTTGGCTTGGCTTTTCAGCCTGCACATAAACCACTTGAAGCAACACCTGTGTGAAATTACATCTCACTGTACGAAAGAAAAAAATGTCCATGCACTTTATGAAAATACAAATATCGTTCTGTCGGGAAAATAATGAGCACTCTGTCGCATCAAAAGTCGTATCGCCGCTGAGAAATTGAATTGTGTGCCGACACAAATTCACTGCAGCGATGTGATTGGCGCAGCGACATTGTGCTCATTATTTTCCCGACATACTAATACCAATAATATTGCAGAAAAAGCTGAGGCGTCTAATCCCACGTTAAGCGCATGCAAAAGCGCGGCCGACAATTTGATCAGCCGCTGTTTCGAACAGCCAGGCGCGTGTGGCCACGCGCAAACAAAAGGCCAAAGCGTTTGGACAACACGCGAACATAATCCAGACCTCCAACACTGCGGATCATTGCACAGTGTCAGAGGGAAGGGCGGATGGTTTTACGATTGGTAAAAATAGAAAATGCAAAAACAAGAAAAAAGTGGGAAAATAAAGAAAAAGGTTGGGGAAACACGGGGAAAATGTTCGAAAATAACTTTGCTCTGAGAGAAATGGATATTAGATTTATGAAAAAAAGGTAAAAAAGGACGTGTTTGAAGTGTCAAAGAAATAACAGTTTTAGTTGGCTTTTTTGGCATAGTGCACCAAAGTTAATATTGGAAAAATGGCAAGCACTTTGTCGGATCGAAAATCGCAGCGACGTGGTCCGCGCAGCGACATTGTACCCGTTATCAGTCTGTCGGAAAAATAACGGCGGATTGTCGCATCAAAATGTCTCGCCTCGCCGCTATCGCGCACCAAATCTTCAGTCTCGGCTTTCAGTCGCAAAGCGATGATGGGCGATTCCAAGGCGCGACGATCCGCCGTTATTTTCCCGAAAGACTGATATTGTCCCGACGAACTGATATGTGAATGAATTGGCGCCACGAGCAAAGCGAGTACAAAATTTTTTGTTTGAAATGTGGCATGCTGCAAAAAACCGGAACGTTGCAGGCTGCAAATTGCAGCTCGAGAATTTTCTTTCAAAAATTTTATTAAAAGCGTAGAATAAACCTCAAATGGCTGTATAAAGACAAACGATCAGAAAACTTGAAAGCTAGCCTTGCTCCAGCGACTTTCCGGAATGACTATTATTAGCAATCATCTCCCCTTCCCAAAAAATCAATTGCCGCAAAAAGCCGCGATACTCCCTGCAGCTCTCGCATGTATTGTTCGGATTCTTTCCCCCCTCCATTGCGATCTCTCGGGCCGCAGAACAAATACTAGTTTTCTCCACGGGTCCTCGAGATTTTTTGTTTGTCAAACGAAAAAAACGGCTGCGCCGCGCAAAACGATTGGAGATTATACGAAGGGAGAGTCTCCTCGCGGCCAATAATTTTATAAGCCCTGATTGCGTAAGGCTTGCGTTCCGATTTTGCTCACCTCCAAGTGGGAAATGTAAACATTTAATTATGAGGATTAAAATGCTCGCGAATTTGTAGCCTTAAAAATAACGGTAAAAGTAGAGGTAAAGCTGGAAGGAAAATTGAATTTCGGATGCCAGTTTTGGCGAAAGTACACGAAAAATTAATGCAGAAAGGAAAGGTGGTGAAACAATGTCTCACGTACTATTCCGAAATGTCGCCGGACTGAAATCGGCCACACGTGCTGTGCGAAAACAAAAGTTTTCTTTTTGCACCGTGCAATGGGCTTTTTTGGGCGGTAGCTCTCACCCTGACCTGTTTCGCATAGCGCGAACGCCTAAAATCGGTTTGGCGACTTTCCAGAAGGACTAGCGTGAAAAATTATTCTTCTCTCAAGAAAAAAATTTTTACAGTAATCTTTTTCAGGCTCAACCATTTGATGATTAAGATATGGCTCCCAGGTCGGGCTGGGCCCAAGAAAATTTTGAGACGGGCCGGTAGATTGAGCTTTCTAGACCGGCCAAAAACTCTTGACATGTTTGTCGCTCAAGAAAACTTGTAAATTCCACTATGCGAACCGACCGCGCACAGTGCGAAATCACTTGCTAGGCCAATCAAAGTGCAATTTCTTTAACTCCGGGCAAACAACCCGCAGGTTGTTTCTCGCGCAAAGTCACCTCGCGACGCCGCCCGCACCTTGTGAAAAAAATGTAAAGACTTTTTGGTCCGCCACATTGAAGAAATGAATGGAAATAGTCTCTAAATGTATTGAATGATAGTCAATGTTAAGATGGTTTGAATTAATAGTGTATTTCTGCTGTTTTTAAGCTTTTTTTGGGGGGTTTTCGCTAGTTTAAAAATATAATATTTTGTTTTGTCAATGCTACTGGCGTTTCAACGCGGAAACAACCTTATTTGGCCGTATTGATAAAAAAACCCTGAAGCTCTTCGTCGCCTAAAATTGTGGTTCATCTCGGCAAACTGATGAAAGTTGGCGGTTTATCCTTGTTTTTGTTATCTTCCACCAAGTGTAACCGGATGATCTTAGCGACTAGGAGCGTATTACACGTTATTAGTAGTAATTTTCGTGGGTGCGAGATAATCCTCTCACACTTTTATTGTTCCATTCTCTGCAATCTGCTACTTTCTCCTCTAACACTTTCTTTGTGTTAATTTCCGTAAATGTTATGGAAAAAGATTTTAGAATCAAATTATTTCCGCTGGTTAATCCCGACAGAAAGTGTCTTCCAATCTTAGGTTAATGAGTTATTTTAGAGGAGTAATTAACCGCAGTAGTGTGGTACGGTAGATTAAGCATGTGATCTAGGGAGGTCCCCTTTTGCAATAGTTTAGCGTCAAAAGAATAGGCTGAGAATTGTACCTGCAAGGTCGTGTCCAAGCTTGACATGGCGCCCAGGCCCGGTTTGAAGCAAATTTTTAAGGCCGGCGCACGTCAAAATGACCGCCTACCGGAAGTTCGAAAAACCCCAAGTTCGACAACCAAAAGTTCGAATGCCGCAAGTTCGAATGCCGCAAGTTCGAATACTAGAAGTTCGAAAAACCTCAAATTAGAAAAACCAAAAGATCGAAAACCGGAAGTTCGAAATGTGAAAATATAAAAAATGCAGAATGAAAAAAAAGAATTAAAACAGAAAAATAGATTTTGTTTATAAAATAGGATAATTTTAACTTAAAGTCTTTGCGATCCCATTCAAAAAAGACGGAAAATCGAACTCGGAAAAACGGGTTACCAAATTACCAAATATGAAGGAAGCAATATCCACCACAAAAAAGCCACGAATCCCGAGAACGACACAGTTGGATTGGCTCCGTGACGAATCTTGATCAGCTCGACACCACCAACCTCCATCGTAGAGAATGAATGATTGAAGAGGAAGTGTATTTTGCAAAATAATTATATGCAAATTATAATTTAAATATTAATTAACTTTTTTTTTCATTTTCGAACTTTAGTCATTCGAACTTTAGGTTATTCAAAGTTACGGTCATTCGAACATTAGGTAGTTCGAACTGGAGGTCGTTCGAACTTTAGTCATTCGAACTTTAGGCATTCGAACTTGCGGATTCGAACTTGCGGTATGTCTCCCGTCAAAATGTGGAGTCCGGTGACCGGAATAGTCTCTTCGCTATCGGTTTTTTACACTTCTTCTTGATTTCACAGAGAAAGAGACAAAAAAGACACGCAAAACATACTCTCTCGCCCCAAAAATTCCCCATTTTTTCCCCGACAAAAACTTTTTTCGCGTCTTTTTTGACGAATTGCCAACCAAATCACCAAAAAGTTGACATGTCTGCACGGTGTGCCGTCTGCGAACAATTTATCGCGCGGCGAGGCTTTTTGGCCACTCTTGTATTATGCTACGAGCCATGTGTGTTCCAACTAGGTCCATAACAGCCGTATTACCAGTTCTCTATGACTATAACAACTCTTGGAAGACCTCTGTTTTTACGGCCTTAATTTGTGTTGTATTCGGATTTGATCAAATGTGATTTTTGGTTTGTCCGGATTCAGTTCTTCTCGTTTCCATCACTGAATACAGGGAATCTTGTCTTATTGTTAACTGTGAATTCCTATAACTTTCATATCTTCGCGGAACAACTCTGTTTCATCTTCGAAAACATTCCTGTTTACTCCAGCAATTATCAGGACTCTCGTCATTCCGATTTTTCCACTGTTATCTTGTAAACATCAGCTATTACACCATCCAAATCCAATTAATGATCATCCTCTTGCACCGATTTCCATATGTTTTCCACAAGTGTCACGCAGTAATTCTCCTGAAATTTGCGTAGGTAATCAGATTAATCGGATTTACGACGGTTTTTACCGTCGATTAAACGTCAATTGCGAGGGTTGAGTGCTTTCCGGCGGATGACATTTGGTTCTAATGTGTGAGACGCGGTTTTCTCGAACCGGATATTGCGAATGCATGAACGTAATTTTCACGAAAACAAGCGTTTTGGGTGGACTACGTGGATTCGGTGGGGTTCTAGAAGATGGCGATGCGAAAGTTCGTTTTTATACGTGGTGATTGCAAGAACGAGTGTCGTAGGCGTTGAATTGCGTAGGGTCAGTATCGGTTTTTTTGCAAATTTTTTCTTTTCACATGCCGTTCTGAATGGTACAAGTGGCAGGAATTATTTGAATTTTGCAAAATTTTAGGCTTCTTCAGTGGAGAAAGAACAGTTCGTTGAAGGCCAAAGTCGTGGTTTATCATGGCGAAAATTTTTGAATCTTCCGAGACCATGTTTATAAAATAATTTCTCAGACTGCCTTGCTCAGGATTTCTTCCGATTATGCCTGGCAAACGTATCAAAATTTTTTTCCAGTCTGTCGGGAAAATAATGAGCACTCTGTCGCATCGAAAGTCGCATCGCTGCCGAGAAAATGAATTGTGTCGCGGAAAAATCAAATCGCTTTTTACTTCAGCGACGCTCTCGGCGAAGCGACATTTGCTCATTATTTTCTCGACAGACTGATATTTACATGTATAGGTCTATCGCGCGTGCAAAATTTGTGACGACACAGTTGAAAAATAGGCTTGCGCGCCGCGATGTGTCGACTGCACAATGCAAAATATGTAATGCTCGGTGCAGAACAGCATTGCGACAGAAAGTCTGTGCACTTTATGAAAATGTTAATAGTATTGTAGCTGTGTGAACAGGTTTGTATCCGTCTGTCGGGAAAATAATAAACACTCTGTCGCATCAAAACCTGCATCGCCGCTGAAAAAGTAAATTGTGTTGCGACAAAATCAAGTTGCTTTTCACTTCAGCGCAGTGATACGCGCAGCAACATTTTCTCATTATTTTCCCGACAGACTGATATTTTGAAATACACATCATGCCTCCGAAAACATACTTTGAAGCAAAGGTCACAACTTTTTTTTACAGTAGCCGTCTACTTCTGATGTTTTCTTCGTATTTCAGTCGTCATTTTTTAATATTAAAAGCATTTTTTCAATAAGGCTTGTCGACATTTGCAGCTTATAATGAAATCCTTTGTTAGGCCTTAGCCAAAACACATTCCAAAAGAGTTTCAGCATTCCTCCCACAGCTCCAGATTACTCAATTTCCGCTCGTTTCTGTAATCCGTACAACTTTCTCATTGTTTCTGATAATCCGTCTGTAAACCGCTTCTATCTAGAGGAAATCGCGCTAATCTTCAATTTAATAATGTGTAAGACTATTAGTTATGTGGTTAAAAAATTTATGAATCATCGGCTTAATCGGCCGGGTCCGGAATTCCCTCTTTTTAGACGAGACTACATTCCTGAGCACAATCATACACAATGTGTATGTGGAGGGATGAGAGGACGCTTATTGAAAATAAAGTGGGGAAAAAGTTCTTATGCAAAGAACAAGAAATTGGTCCACATTTTGTTGGCAAACTGGACAAAGGTTTCCAAGATGGGAGAGACTATCAAGTCTGTCGGGACAATGATGAGCACTCTGTTGCAGAAGTGAAAAATAACTTGATCTTGCCGCGATATCATTTTCTCGACAACGATCCGACTTTCGAGGCGACATTGTGCTCATTATTTTCCCGACGGACCGGTAAAAGGACTGGCGATCTTGCAGGGGAAGTGTTTGAAATGCGACGCTTAGATTTCCTTCAATTTTTGCGCAAACGTCGGAGATGGGTTACATGTTAACCCCTGAAAATTTTACCTTGCGACAAGGAAATCGTTAAATTTTATTTACAACAGCAAGCTCTTTATGTTTAGTAAGCATTTATCCTCTTGGCGTCTCCACTTCTTCCACATCTTCCTCTTTCTCATTCATTGAGAAAAACGAAGTTCCCTCGCCTTGGCTGGAACCCGGTGTTATCACCAGCTCTGGCGCATCATTGACGCTGAACTGTGAGGAATAGGGAGTGACAAAGTTCTCGGTGCTCATCCGAGAGTCGAGCGAGATCACTGAGTCCTCGTTGGAGGAGTTCCTCGGGGTGCAGGTGCTCTCCGACAATGAGGTATTCAGAATGTAGTCGAGGAATTGCTGGCGGGATATGAATTGGCTTTCGTTTTTGGTGATTCGCTAAAAAAAGCCACAGTTTGTAAATGGCGTCGTATTTTACTATAATTTTTCGCACCACACACAAACTCATACTTGCCTCAAAAACCTCGCACATATGGCTGAATATTGCGGGTGCGTGGACCGGCCGTACATGATCACCGAGTAGCCCGTAGATTGACTTCATAACTGACAGCAGTTGGATCCGTCCCACTCTGTCTTCCTTTTGCGAGTCATAGAAATTGAAGACCCATTCGGCACGGTCTTCAGCTGTTCCTCGAGTGAGAATTGAGTAGGTTATAGCGAGATCCTAAAGATGCGAAAAGGATGATTTATAATAGGGCTTTGGACATAAAAATTTGTGTCTAATTCGATGATATTGTAGGTAAAATACGGGACAGAGACTACTTTATTCAGATTACCTCGAAGTCGACATTTCCATCATTGTTCAAGTCGAATGCACGATGCACAAAGCACGCGTATTCCTCCGACTTGCCTTTGGGGAAGATTTGCGCGTAGAATTGCTTTAATTGGTCGAGACTCAGAACTCCATTGGGGCAGAACTAAAAGCAAAATAAGTAGACTACAGTCGACTGCATGCTGTCACGATTCCGTGAAGAATTCCCAGAGATTAGCATGAACACGAATATTTTGATATAAATGTAATGGATCGACCGCTTTTCGGTCACTCGTTGGTGAGATAAACATATATTTGGAATTGTTGGAATTTCCGTTTGATCCAGTCCGGTCGTGTCGATACAAAGTGGAATCAATTTTGCGTGAGTCCGCAGTTTATTGATAGAGTTCTCTATTTGTGTCTCCGGGTTAGTAGGGGCAGCGGATACTAGGAGTAGAGGGCAAGTTAGGGGCCATCCTATACCTCGACTTAGAACTAAGTCTTGACAATTCTAGGCCAAGAGTGCGTAGACTTTTTCGCGCGGACCGCGCCATGTAAAAAACTTATTTTACGCCGTATTATAACATAAACCTTGCTTGCATGTAAATACCAAACCGTAATATGTCTATCGACAAAAGATCGCTGACTATTTTCCGACAGACTGATAGCAGAAACGACTTGCGAATTTGGAACTTACATCCTTGAAATGCCGATAAAGTTGTCGAAGTTCAGTTCGACTGAATTGTGTGTCGATGAGCAGTCTTTCCAGGTTGGCCGGTTTTGTCGTGTTTATACCGTAGAGTCGGGGGAATCCTGAAAAAAACTGAAGAGTTATTTGGCGACCTTTCTGCCAAAAAAAAAGTTCAAATGCATTGTGCGGAAGAGGAAAAATTATCCATGCACTTTATGAAAATACCAATATTCCATTTTTGAAGTTCACCCAAACTTCCAAAAAACCCCAATTTAGTTTGCAGCTCCAAAAAAAAGCGAAGTGCAGACCCATTTTTGCGAAAGATATTGCGGGAGTCTATTCCTCATTCTATTGTTATCTTTCATCCCTCAGCGAACGCAATGTTTCCGCCACTTGGGAATTCCTAAATAGCCGCTGATGCTATGCGACGATACTTGCGAAGCGCGTTTGAAGCGGGCGGAATTTTGGAATTTTGATTGCGTCCAAATTTATAGAGTTTCGGGGGCTTGGAATTCGGCGAAAATGAGATGACGAAAAAAAAAAACGATTTGCAAGTAAAAAAAATTAAAATTTTTGTGTCATGCTTTTCTTAAAACATACGTAGACTTTTTGTAGCAGAGCACTGCAGGATGAGCCAAGTCTTTCTCCTTAGATGGTCAACTCTTCCTCTCAAAATTCTTTTTTGTCAAGATTAATATAAATTTCTTTATGTTTCAATCTACATATTAGGGTGAACCAAAAGTCTTTTCGTTTTTTTTATTAAAACTTTAAACATAATTTTACAACAAACGAACACTAGTCAAGTTTCGAAGTAAAGGCCATTTGAATCTATGGCTTGAACCCATCTATCGGCAAGTTGTGCGATCCCGCTGCGGTACCGCTCCTTGTTCATAGAGGCGAAAAACTCGCGGCACCCGTCTTCGACATCGTCCAGATCATTGAAGCTACGACCACGCAGAAAGTGCGCCATGGACCGGAAAAGGTGATAGTCGTATTGCGCAAGCTGCGAAATATACGCTGGGTGTGGAAGAAGTTCAATGGCGTCGAGAGTTTTGATCTTTTCCTTCGTTTGTTTGGCGGAGCGAGGTTTTGCGTTGTCTTGTTGTAGGGGTACGCGCATTCGATTGATCAAAGCGGGATATTTTTTGCCAAGCGCCGCATACATTCGATCGAGTGGAGCGTATTAGAGGTCTGCGTCGATAGTCCGACCATTTGGAACCAACTCGAAGTGAATTACGCCTTCAAAATTGTTTTTTAAGATGTCTTGCCCTCGAGGTCCGTGTCGCCGTCGTTGAATCGTTTGAACCAATCGCGCAGTACGATCTGAGACCACATTGTAGCCTTCAACTTCGCTTATCTTCTTTGCTGCTGCAGTTGCGTTAAAGCCATGTTTCCGGTAAGGACGTAAAAAAACACGAATTTCGGATTTTTCCATGTTTTTTCTACAGGTTAAAAGATTTTAAATAAAAGACCAATTAAAAGTTTTAATATATATTATGATAAAGCAGTTCAAGACCTTTAAAAATATATATAATACATTCATCTAAAAGTTTTTATTTCGTACAAAAACAGACGGACAAAAAGATGCCTTAAAAAACGAAAAGACTTTTGGTTCACCCTAATACATCGACAGGACAATAACTCCAAAAGTAAGTTAAATTAACCCTCTTTCTATATATGCAATGATTTTTTGCATTACATAAGTTTATCCTTGCGCATTTAGCCATTGTTGTAGGTATACAAATTTAGCTGAATTCTGTTCGTTCTTGCGATTCCATGAACGAAATTTGAAAGTCTTCCCCGCAAAAGAACCGGCGTCGAGCCTTCTTGGTGCCAGAATTGTTTCAGCATGAAAGGACTTACAGTTTTTTTGTTGATTCGATTTTCGATATTACACTAGGTACTTTTGTAAGTTTAAGGCGAGATTAGGTCACGTTTTACGTCATGTAAGGTCTAAATGGACAATAAAACTTTATTTTAGCATTCTTAACGTCGTAACATTTATTTCCCCCCTTTTATTGTCGTTTTTGATTTTTTTTCAGATTTTAGGTATGGAAAAACTTTGATGTATCCGCGGCCATAGATGCGTATTAATACTTCGCAAACCATATTTAAAAGATCTCTGGTCAATGTAAAAAATGTTTAGAACAGAATGAGAGGTATTTGAGACTTTTTTAGATCCACGTTGTACTTGATCACTTAGACCCTAAGACATCTCAAACCCTGGTTTGAAAGAATATTTATGTTGGGGACGGTTTAGTAATGGCTCAGCTTTGTAGTTTTCCGGGTTTAAACTTCAAAAACATTAGATTTTGCCTGCAACTTGATAAAAGTACCTAGTGTAATATCGAAAATCGAATCAACAAAAAAACTGTAAGTCCTTTCATGCTGAAACAATTCTGGCACCACGAAGGCTCGACGCCGGTTCTTTTGTGGGGAAGACTTTCAAATTCCGTTCATGGAATCGCAAGAACGAACAGAATTCAGCTAAATTTGTATACCTACAACAATGGCTAAATGCGCAAGGATAAACTTATGTAATGCAAAAAATCATTGCATATATAGAAAGAGGGTTAATTTAACTTACTTTTGGAGTTATTGTTGTGTCGATGTATATAGATTGAAACATAATGAAATTTATATTAATCTTGACAAAAAAGAATTTTGAGAGGAAGAGTTGACCATCCAAGGAGAAAGACTTGGCTCATCCTGCAGTGCAGAGCTTTTCACACTGCACATTTGACCTGTTGCCCTGGGACCAATTTGACAACCCCAATCTCCCATACATTTAGTGCAAAATCGGCATAAAAATTGAATTTTTGCTCACTTCGGGTTCATTTTTATGCCGGGAACGGCATTCTGTACTTTTGGGACACAACCGGTCTCCGCGACTTTTACAATTTTTTTCGAAGTTCGCTTGCTTTTTATCTCTATATCTCGCTAGCCGTTGGCGCTAGAAGGCTGAAATTTGGTACGGCAATAGAGCAAAAAGCTGGCTTTCAGAAAATATAAATATTGTAGGGAACACCGCAGCATAAACTTCCCGATGACAATTGAAAAAAATCATTTTTAAAACTTCTGCAACCCAGAAGTGCAGGTTGCATGATCGTATTGACAAATTTCTTTTTGCCTATGTGTGTCGAGTTCGATTCTCTACAAGATGGTCATGCATGGGAATTTCGAATTTTCAGGGTTCCCAGAGAGCGCCACACAACCCCACCCTAGAATAAAAATGACCCCCAAATCAGCAAAAATTCAATTTTTACGCAGATTTTGCACTAAATGTATGGGAGATTGGGGTTGTCAAATTGGTCCCTGTGCAATCCAAAAATCGCTGCGACCTAATCTTTTTTCAACTGCGGGCGCGAGTGAAATGGACGGTACAAGAGGGGTGTTTTTTGTGCACGACGCGAGACGCGACGAATGTCCATGCACTTTACGAAAATACTACTAATGTAGTATAGAGCTGTCGGGTAAACAACGGAAACTACTTGGGCAATTTGTTGAGACGAGAACGGAAAAAACTCCTAATAGGGTTTACAGAGGAAGTATTCCAAGTGCGACGGTCAGATTTTTATTAAATTTTGCGCACATTTTGTACATACGACATATATCAATATATATCATATACCAATGGCTAAGAACTGTAGCTCGCGCTTTACAGGGCCTTATAAAAAAGTGTTCTAAATTTGTCACAAATCTCACCAAACTCTGAGCTTTGAACTTGTCTTGTTTCCCCTTTAGCTAGAGTTCTAAGCAGGGAACGTGAGAGCATAAACTTTCGTTGACTATGCGAGGACATTTCCGTAAGACAAAAAGTATCCTTTTTCCCAAAGTAAACGTGGGTCGGACATAAACAAACGTTGTAATTCTCAGGGCTCAGATTGGGAGTCAAATTGGTTTAGAACTTATTAGGCAAATTGTGTTCCAAAAATTACTAAACAAATGTTGTGAAAACAATTTTTTCGCTTTCAAGAATGTATATTATTGGTCTGTCGGGAAAATAATGGGCGCTGTGTCGAATCGAAAGTCGCATATTCGCCGAGAAAATGAGTTGTGTCGCGATAAAGTCAAATTTCTTTTCACTTCAGCGACGATATTGCGACATTGTGCTCATTATTTTCCCGACAGACTGACATAAAATTATCAATGAAATGATCAACGGTAGGACCTGCTATATGAAATGCTTCTGCTATAAATCGTATAAATTTTGAAGCTCAAGAAAGCAAATTGTCGGAAAAAATTTGAACACAAACATCAAAAAGATGAGTCGAACGTCCGCCCTCGGAAAAACGGTCATAACCGACAGATGTCACTTTTTCGAAAAGGTCAAGTGAAAGGGCTTCAAGGAGAACGACTTAAACGAGTGTTGAAAAGTGGGACATTTTGAATTGGGCCCGCTCATCCATCAGACAAATTCATTAAAATTGAAAAAGAACCCATTGTTCGAATGGGGCGGCTCCATGGAGAGGAAAAACATGAATAGAGAAAACAATGAGAGACTAAAGTGTTCAAAAATTGATTACTTATGGATACTAACTCTTTCGTGTGGGGCAACGCGTTGCAACGTTCAAGAAAGGACCAAATTGGTCAAGGAATCGGTAAAAATAGAATTTTTCGGATGCTCCGTCAGTCTGTCGGGAAAATAATGAGCCTGCTGTCCCAGCCGCGTCGCTGAAGTGAAAAGCAATTTGATTTTATCGCGACACAATTCATTTTCTCGGTGACGATGCGATTTTCGATGCGACAGGGCGCTCATTATTTTTCCGACAGAGTGATATTTGTGACCGAAGACCAGCTTGAAGAATCTCCTCTCTATTTCTTTTTCGATTTTACATGCGACGCCTTTGTTGCCACAACCGAAATATATATGAGTCTGTCGGGAAAATAATGTGGATTCATCAAGCCTTGGAATCGCCCATCATTGCTTTGCGACGGCTGGCAACGCCTGGCGATTTGCGACGAGGCGAAATCTTTATTTCTCTGTCGGGAAAATAATGAGCCTTCTGTCGCGTCCGAAATTGCATTGCCGCCGGGAAAATGAATTGTGTCGCGTTAAAATAAAGTTGCTTTTCAATTCGACGATGTAATCGGCAAAGAGGCATAGTGCTCATTATTTTCCCGACTGATATTTATAGGTCTATCGCGCGTGCAAAATTTATGGCGACACAGTTGAAAAATTGGCTTTTGATCAGTTGCAGTCTGGCTTAAGAGATCCCGAGAAAATATCAGTCTGTCGGGAAAATAATGTGGATTCATCTTCGAATCGCCCATCGTCGCCTTGTGACGGCTAGCCGCGGTTGGAAATTTGATGCGCCACTTCGATGAGAATTTTTTTGGCAGCGACAACTCCACATTATTTTCCCAACAGACTGATACTTACATTACACTATGAACAAAAATAAAACTTACCCGGGCATTCCAACGGATTCCGTGGCATCCTTTTCAAACTCCAGAGGTTAGGTGTAAGAATGCTTTCGGAAAAATATTTGTCACCCAAAAGCGGACTTGAATTTCACTGAATAATTTCTCACCATCCCCATTGTGGAATTAGCGGTCCGACGATTGTAAATAGATCGAAAGAAGATTTCCCGGCCTAAAATAGGATAAAGCCCCGAGTTTGAACTCCGTTTGCTGGCGAAATTCGGAATTCCAATGCCGCAGGGCTTGAATTTCATATTCAACGGGGGGTTTTGAAGAATAGAGCTGTTTATCTCCACAGCGACGTCAACACAGTGGAAAGGAAAGGGCTGAGCGTCTTGAGTGCGTTATAAAAAAGGATCTAATTTCAAGCATAAGTAGTTTGAAGTTTGTAGGCAACGAGCAGGAGGTCAATTTGCTTCGAACAGTTTTTATATCCTTCTGTCGGGAAAATATTGTGGATTTGTCGCAACAAAATTTTTCACTTGCCGTTGTCACGCACCAAATTTCCAGCCGCGTCAAGTCGCAGCGCGATTATAGGCAACGCTTGGCACGACGATTACACATTATTTTCCCAACAGCCTAAAATCAGTCTGTCGGGAAAATAATGAGCATATGTTGCATCAAAAATCGCATCGCCGCCGATAAATTGAATTGTGTCGCGACAAAATCAAATTGCTTTTCACTTCAGCAACGCGATTGGCGCAGAGTGCTCATTATTTTCCCGGCAACTTAATATCAGTCTGTCGAGAAAATAATGTGCATTTGTTGCAGTAAAATCTCTCGCACTGCCGTTGCCACGGGCCAAATCCCCGGCCGAAACTGCCCGTCGCAAAGCGATGATGAGCGGTGCCAATGCGCGACGAATCCACATTACATATTTTCTCGACAATATCAGTCTTTTGAGAAAATATAGATCACAATGTCGCTGCGCCGATCGCTTCGCTGAAATGAAAAGCAATTTGATATTGTCGCGACACAATTCATTTTCTCGGCGGCGATACGATTTCCTATGCGACAGAATTCACATTATTTTCCCGACAGAATGATAGAACAGCATGACAATTGCTGGGGTGTCGCAGAGTCCGAATTTTGTTCCAAGAGGACTTCAAACTCTAAAATTTACTCATGATATCACCGGATATATGTACATGTTTATGTCTCTTTATCCGGTCGAACTTGTACTGAATTCCTAACAAATAAGTCTCCGGGTTTATTCCATTTAAGCCGTTTTAAGGCCGGCTCAATTAGCCATGCGAATTCGTAACGTCCCCGAACAATGCCGACAGAAGCCCTGGGGGTCTTATGACTTTCGGAACCACCGAACAGCTTTTGAAAACAAGTTTATCGACTCGGCGGATTAAGCGACGTGTTTTCGTTAGTAAAGAACGACTGAAAGTTCAATGCCTGATTAGTTGTAAAGTTCACAGCTTGAGGCTTATTTCTAATTGCTCAGAACTATAGTATTGGAAGGGCTTTCTGCGTTGTAACTATGCGAATAATAAGTCATGTTTTTAGCAGATTCATTACGTCTTTTAGAGAATAATATTTGGAAGAATACTGGGTTACGGTGGATGAGATAAAGTAGAATGTTTTCAATGTTCTGCTAATTGTATGGCTTGAGGATACGGATTATAAGGTCAGAGAAGCCCTATAGTTCCTCGCAGTGGAGGTTTTCTTTTGTTCCCGTAGTCCGGAATGCATAATACATACATAAGGCAATGTATGTACGTGTAGCTGTCGGACCTTTTGGACGAAAGAAGGTTTGATAAAGTACAGTTGTTAATGAAAATCCGATTTTCATTTTCAAAATCGCGACTCTCCAGTCTTGGCAGAAGAAATTTATATGCCATCATCACAGAGATATGACTGACATTCTGGACGTAATACATTTATATGCATAGTTTCTGTTTTGCGACCCTGCTGCCGGTATCTCTCTAATATTCCTTGGAAAAATTGTAGAGCGGTTGGCTTCCAGAACACTCACATAAGTTGCTTTTACATTTCCAAAATTTCATCTACTAGAGAGTTGCTTGAAATGAGACGCATAAAACCGCCTATTGTTGCACTTCATGAACCTCTCTCGTTTCTTGATCCTACCTATTTTGGGACGTAATCTGTACAACAAAACCTGTGTGTCAGTCTGTCGGGGAAATAATGAGTACAATGACGCTCCGCCGATCGCGTTGCTCAAGTAAAAAGCAATTTGATTTTGTTGCGACACAATTTATCTTCTCGGCGGCGATGCCATTTTCGATGTGACAGAGTGCTCTTGATTTTCCCAGCAGAATGATAACATTGCGTGTACTTTCTCCCGGCATTACAAAACATTTCCTGTGAGCTTTAAGACACAATAATATCGAGGGCAAGTGGATACGTCTGATGAGTATTCGTGTTGGATATTTCTTGTTGCATGTTCCTACAATTGTAACCCTACCATACGTTTTGCGTCATGAGCAAATAACTGTCCTCTGTGTCGGAGATATGGCCATTGAGGATTACATTACTAGAATATTACATATGACATTTAGCAAAAAAAATGATATGGCGTTATTGAGGCTTCTAAGTGTTGTTATGGTGTTGCAATGTGTTACGAACTGGATTAAAGGTGAAACCAATACATAAGAGTTTGGTTTATCGAGGTTTTCGGCATATATATGTCTATATGTATGTACATGTAAGCCGATCTCAGTCTCAGGAAGACCTTCTGTAACGTACAGTCATCGGCCATACAGATTACCGTATCTTGCTGAAGAAATTTCGATTCCTTTCAACGTTCATTTCAATCTCCACCCCACACACGCAATCAACAAGGATCTCATTCATTTAGGTACAAAAGAAAAATATTACAAACATATTCAACAAATATGCGAATCTACGACAAATAAATATTTATAAAGGTAGTATTAACAACGGGGGTTGGTTGGATGGACTTGTGTCTTTTATTACTCTCCCATTTACAACATAAACTTAGAGCAGGGGCAACGCTGATAGTGGCAGACGTAGGCCCGACAACACCAGCAGACCTGTCGCCGGGGGACCGGCGGCGGCTCCACGCCCTCGAAGACGGGCGACATTAGCGGCGTGTCGTTGTCGGGTTCGGGCTTCTCTTGGACCGGCAACTGGCCGGCCAACTCCATCTCGAGGACTTTGGGATCCAACTTGTCCGCCACGAGGTTGTAAGCGCCCGGGAGTTGATATGGAAGGTGGGCTTGACGCGATTCGCTGGATGAAGCTGAAAATCAAAATTTTAGTTCGTTTTTTTGATTGCACAGTGCGAAAAAATTTTTTTGCTTTTTGACTGCACAGTGCATCGACATTATGGTTTCTACAACTGCACAGTGCAGAGACATTTTAGATTTTTTGACTGCACAGTGCTAATCTCTGAATCCAAAGATCCCTCAACCATAAACTTTGTTCCCTAGAGTCATACAAGTATTATAATCTCTCCCCAAATACGACTATCTAACATCCTATGTACCATACATGTCCTTGTTACGTATCTCGAGTGCACTCTACGCATGTCAAGTGCTACGCAAATCCGATAATGGAAGTGAAAAAAAACCACTGTGTTTTCGTCGAATCAACGGAAATTACCGCATAAACGTAGTAATTATTACATAAGCGGGCTAATTGAGTGCGGAGAAATGGTACATTTACAGTACAACATGACTCGTCGCCTTAATGTCAGAAACTGCACGCAATTGCATCAGGACCGCATGGTTGTGCATTTGACAGTGTAAACTTGGCCAGTGCGTCGCAAAAAAGTGTAAAATCACGAAACGGAAATTTTAGCAATTGCACCGTACGTCAGAGTTCAAAATGGCGGATAAACAAGTCTAGTGGAATTTTAAGAAAAGTGCGTGTTACTGATACGGCTTTAATGTTGGAAATATGATGTACAGAGAGTATGCAAGGTGATTTTGATGATGTAGTTGGTGCATCCATCAAAATAAGAATTTTTGAAATTTTGAGATTTTTTGAAAATTTTGAAAAAACCCTAAGGGCAAATTGCTATTTTTGAAAAGTTTATGAGCTAATAAGGCTGTTTAGTTACAAAACAGTCATCTACTTGCTGCAGAATAGCCAAAAATCCCAAATCTATACGTTAATGTCTACTGTAATATAACTAATCCCACCGGAATTCAAAACCCCCAATGATATCGCTAAACCACGGCTTAATATGTCTGAACCATCATATATCCAATTTTTCTGGGATACAACCCCCTTAAAGACCCTCGAAACCAACTAATCTGCGCCCGTATTAACCCCGCGCCGACATTTGGACGAAGCTGTTCTTTGCATACTTTTCCGGCTAATCGGGGATGAACTCCCATCAAAAATGGAGGATACGAACAATGTCTGGAAATCCTGTGAGCAACGGGAGTGTGCGAAAAATGGGGATTGGAAGTCTTACAAGAGCAGACGTATATTACTGTAGAAATTAGCGAATGTCGTCAGACAATAGACCTCATACGAAAGAATGACCGAAGCAGAGGGTAAGAAGAGGGCAATTAAATAGCTACAGTAAGAGAAAATTTGTAGAAAACATGAGTTTGCACCGTGCAAAAACTTCAAGTTTGACCGCACTGCGCAACTTAGAGAAGCAATAATTTCCGCACTGTACGGAAATTGCATAATGACAAAAGCAATTAGAATGATTTATTATACCACGAGACTTAATTCTGCTATGCCATTTGCCATTTACAACCTATAGTGCGGCCATAAATTGGGGGATGTTTTACTGCACAGTGCAAGATAACAAAATTGAAAATTCTTAGGCTGTGTGTAAAATAACGGGCTAAAACAAATATCATGTGGTCTATAGAAGAAAACTAATAGATATAAATACCTAATACTTTGTCTACAAGCCGTTTCCTATGCACATTCCCCATTACTTTATATTGCACTGTGCAATATTTTCTTCTACGCAATTTCCGGATGCTACGATCTTTGCATCAGCATTTCCTGTTATCCCACGTTACTTTCCGGCATGCCAAACACCTACGGTAAAAATCGTGGCTGCATCTATAATAAGATATTATTTCTAATTGCTCAAAGAACAAGTGCACAGTGCGCGGGACAAAACGCGGCTATTTTTCGCACTGTGCGCTCCAATTAAATTTCGATATAAAAAATAAGGGTAATTGAAAACGTGGGTTTGCCATATATCCGGCTTGTGTTTACCAATACGCTACAATATGCCAAAAGGCGAAAACGTGAGGGTGCGTCACAAATGAAATTAATTAAGGGATTTTGATTAGTTTCTTAAAATTGCATTCAATTAGTCATGAGAAAGACTTCTGTCTGCGAGCGTGAGAACAATTATAATTACAACTGGATGTAAGGTTGAAAATAATAAAGGCTACAAACTGAAAATTACAGTAAGACAATGGCTATAACTGACTGTAAAATTACTCAAAGCCCTCAATCAATTTGACTTGTAGAGAAACTACAGTAAGAAAACATAAAAAAATATCAAAATACAGTAGGAAAAAGTTAAAAATCTCACAATACAGTGAGAAAATAAATGTCAAAATTTGATGTCTAGTATGTACAATATAGACTTTCCCAGAATACAATGAAAACATCAGAAGGGTCAGAAATCCCTCTCAAAATTCTTGAAATCTATTTTTATTCCAATAAACAATTTGAAGCTTCCCGGAAAACCCCCTTAAAACCCGATGTAATGAGCCTCCGGGTAATTAGAATTGCGTAGTTTTGCCTGGAGTATTCGAAGTCTCAGATTTTTGATCAGTCGTCTGGAGATTCCGAGAAATCACAAAACATATTATATCAGTCTGTCGGGAAAATAATGTGGATTCGTCGCGGCTTGGAATCGGCTCTCATAGTTTTGCGAAACGGCTAGCCGCGGCTGGAAATTTGGTGAACAACGACGACGATGCGCGAGATTTTAAAAATCCACATTATTTTCCTAACAGACGAGATTCGAGATTGCACTGTGCGGCGATTGAAAACTTTTTTTGCACAGTGCAGGGGCAGACCAAGAGAAGCGCACTGTGCTTTTTGCATCGCAAATTGGCGGCAATGGACTGCACAGTGCATGAAAAAATCGCTGCGACAAACTTTTGCATTTGCACGGTGCAATCCGCGGAGGACTGGTTTTCGCACGGTGCAGCCGCAAAAAGTCGATTTTGCACAGTGCGGAGACAGAAAAATATTGCATTGTGCAGAAAAATGACTGAAAAAATTTTCCGCATGGTGCGAAAAAAATTTGTAAAAGATTGCACAGTGCGAAATTCAAAGCCGCAAAAATTGCAAAATTAACTGCCTAGGGGTTTCAAAAATAATTTTTAGTAGCAAAAAAGTCCAAACAAGAGCAATTCCAACTTACTTGCACCATGAATGACGACGCAGAGCACCAGGCAGAGTACAGAGAATCCAAGGCCGGACCACATCTTCAACTGTGTATAATATTGTGTAAATGAAAGCTGGAATCGGTGCGCGTTTGTAGCGGAGAGCTCCTCCCACAGACGTTTATAATAAGCGCGTACGCGAAATGGTTCGATGACACGGGCTTTCCTGATATTAAATAAAAACCAATTTTTTCGCCTTTTTATCCTGGCCCCGCCCACTTTTTGGGCCAAAGAGGAGGGGAATAAAAATAAAATTGCAATGAGTGCGTGACAACACTGTCAAGAGCGGGTATTGTAAAATAAAGGGGGAATTAGTCAACAATTCATATTACACATGATATCAGATGGAGGAAAAAATCAAAAAAAAAAAAAAAAAGAAAAAAATGAAAAAATAAAAAAAACCCAAAAAATTTTTTTTCTAAATTTTTTATTAATTTTATTTGTATTTAGCGACAAAAAAATTGCCAGCACCTTTTTTTCCTCTGCACAGTGCAGTTTATTGCCCGAGAAAGCACAATGCAGGAGTACCAATCCTCACGCTGCGCGATCACAAAACTTTTGTTTTTGCTATGAAAAGAGCAAGAGAAGCGGAAAAATGTATTCGCACTGTGCGAAAACCTTTACTCTTCTATTGCACCGTGCAAGTTGTTGAAATCTTTGGAAAGGGTTAAATTTGCGCTATTTTCTGTTGTGTCTTTTTTCACATTATATTTTTTTCGTTTTGCACTGTGCAATCGCTAAATTTGAACAAAATTTTAATCGCACAGTGCGTAAAAACTAAAAGACAAATTGCCCAATGCCCAACATAGATTCCCAAAAAAAATTATTTGCCCATTTACCCTGAGGCCAAAACAAAGAATCTTCTAAAAACTTCTTCGCATTTCCGTAGAAAATGACGAATTTACAAGGAAATTAAGAAAAGTGCACAGTGCATTAAAAATATTGCCTAAACTCTAAAAAAAATACGATGCAGTTCAACTTTATGGTCGCTGTAACGATGCTAAACGAAAATAACTAAAAATAACTACAGAATTTCGATGATTACTGTGTTTTATTAATACTAAACGACCGCATAACGTCCTAAATGAACCCCCAACGTCGAAACTCATAATTTCCCTTGCTAACTCGAATCATAATTAGCAGTTGTACGATTATCGAGGTATTTTTAGAAGGCCTGGAGAGTTTCTAAACAATAATTGAAAAGAAAGCTTTGAAAGAGTCATTAATTTAATGGAAAATTTGCAAGTTCCCTCTATTTGTAGGTAGCAAGTCGGGACTTAAAAAGAAACTGCGTAGCGGGAGACAAACATAGGATCATAATGCGATTTATGAGCAACGAAACGCCTACTGATAGCTGATGGGGCTGAATGTACGTGAAAAATAGCGGGAAATGCCGGAGGCGATATGTGAAAAAACTGAAAAACATGGCGTTTTAGATAGTGCACATGAACTGTAAGACGTTTACGTATCAACCTCATAATTTTTCATAATTTTGGCCAACGTTTTGAGACCGTATTTAAGATATTCAACGACCTTGTAGCGAAGCAAAAAGCTTGTCGCCACCTTATAAACAGCGGCGGGCAAAGTTCAAGGGGCATTGCGACCGTTACAGTGCAAAAGGAATTTTTTCGAAGGGTCAAAAAAAACACCTCGTCGCAATATTTTCTGCATCCGCCCGCACAGTGAAGAAACATGACAAAACTTTCTGGCTTCTTCTGGAAAGTAGCCGGTATAAACTCGGCGACACGCACCGTGAGAAAAAAGTTTCTTATGCACTGTGAAATTTCTTCCTTTTTGCAACGTGCAATAAGATTTTTTCGGATATCGCCCGCTAGCTGATTTTTTCCGCACAGTTCAAACGTCAAAAATCACTCAAGCGACTCTACGAACGGACTAGTATTAGCCTCCTTTTGAACTATCTGATTAGCATCTACCTTTCCTCAACCATTGATTACTCCTCATTTTGTCTCAGAACAGCATATTACAGATACTAAGATCTGATTGTCCCGAGGCCTGACATAAGCGCCTTTGACCCCCGTTTTAGCCGCTAAAAGTGGATTCCCGTCGATTTACATCCGTACAACCATACATAAGGCTATTAAGATAAATTGCGACCCACACATTTATCTTTGCAAAGGCGATTTACCGCTCGTGTTCAGTGAAAAAATAGAAGAAAATAGAAGATGTAGAAGGGAAAAAAATACGATACATCAAGGTTTCTGACAATTAGGAAAGCATCAAACAACTTTTCCGAAAGCCCACAGGCTCACTAAATGCCAATGAAAAGATTAGACCTATTCTATGCCCCATATTGTATGAAATTATTCACGTTTTGACGAGTCATTCCCTCCGAAAATATCCAGAAATCCCGAGCTCCTTGTCTCCAACCCCACGCAAAAAGGGATAACGACATTTAAATGCGGAGATCCAAATTTAAAACAAAGCCGGGTGTAAATTTAGAAAAAAATTAATTTCCTCAAATCCTTGTTCGAAACATGGGCGAACTAATTAATCAACTCTCCGACGACCTTTGCAGGCGACGGGATTAGCCACGGGCTGTATTTTTGGAAGGTCTATAAAGGTGTTGAAAATGCGGCAATTACAGTTTTCCAAAAGTTAGCGGTTTATTAAAAAGCTATCAGTCTGTCGGGAAAATAATGAACAATGTCGCTGCACAAATCGTATCGCTGAATTGAACAGCAATATTGATTTTTGCCGTAACACAAGTCATCTTCTCGGCGGCGATTCGATTTTCGAGACAATGTCCGCATTATTTTCCCGACAGACTGATACAATTTTTTCAACATTTGTACAAAAAGTCTACGCACTTTTTTGAAAACGCGTAGGACCCCTTTGGTCTTACTGTTTGATCATTTACAAACAATTTGCGCGCATTTCCCACCCTCATCGTCCAACGATCCGTCAATGTAGGCCCCGTTTCTCGGGTTCCCGCCACAAGAAATGGATATGTTCTGGTTATATACTGCATAATCCCCGCACTTCTTCATGACTAAAATAGTCGTTCTTTTGTTTGCACAAATGTAATACTTTTGCCGGAACGGATCCCATTACAATGTTCATGGGAAAGTAAGTAAATGCGGCGCAAACATCACAAGATCAGGGTGGTCTTATCTCTCCGACTTGTGCCGTATTGGGATACGTCGTATCTGACGTGTGGAGGATTGCGCAATTGCAATATAATATGTTGGCGAAAATTTATGCAAATAAAGAAGTCTTTCGAGAAAACCGCGTCTAGTGGCAAGGATCAGTGTGATAATGTGAGTTGGTTGCGCCTTTATGTCCGAAAAAAGAATTTCCTTTAAAGCACGGTGCAAAATGGGGGCTTTGTTCGCGGTGTGGCCCGCGCCAAGTATCCGTGCACAATTGTCGGTGCTTAATGGGCAAAATATTTTAATTTCTGAAAATTTTAACTTGCGCTTCTCGAGAGCGACTGTTTATGAAGCTTGAGAATGCGGCAAGAACATTAAAAAGGTTAGTGGGAAATAAATTGAAATTTATACCAACCCTCATCAATATTCAAGATTGTAAAACGTTGGAAACATAGAGCCTTGATGTCATTTCCTTATGCGACATGAACATTTCCCTTTTTATACAATCGACAATAAAACATTAGTGCCTACTTTTATGCCAAAAACAAACGATTGTCTTTTACAAAAAAGGTCTCTAAACGGTCCCAAAAGACTTTCCAATTTCCTTTATGATATTGCCAGAATCATTGTTCAAACAAAATTTCGCAAGTCAAGAAAATTACAGTAGTCAAATATTCACGCTGAACAAAGTTCGAATATTGAAATGTCATGTACACATATGTATAAATTTGGGCGGTAAACATGCCGCCCGAAATAACGTTCCACATTATGCAAATGGCCGCTGGCTAATGGTGCCAGACAATGTTGTTTCCATTGAATATTAACCAGTATTCCGCTCCCTCCCGCATTCCGGCGACGTCAGATTGTAGGGAAATCTTGGAATGCGTCAATAAAATGCGAATCGGAATATGTAATGTTGATAATTCGAAGCGTTCTTGAAAAACCAAAAAAGGAGTGGGCTCATTGTAGAGCCGAGGAGCAATACTGACTTGAGTACTCATCCAAAACTGTTATTCCAGTCGTTTATATAAGATGGGCAGCGCTACGCTCCTCACCGGACCATGGGACCAATCAGCTGGAATGGCAACCGCTTCTGGGAAGATCCGGTACTCCGAAACCGTAATGGTGACCCTAACGGGCTGCAACAAGGGTACGACTACCCGAAAAGGAGGTCGAGCCCTCAAGCAACAATGGTCAAGGTTCCGGCCTTTTATAACTTTTGCCGTCGTTTTTAGGCTGGGGTAAAAGCATCTCTCTGACGCATTCCAGCCTCTCTTTTCTCATACTCTCTCAACAAAACGTCGATAACAGGCAAGAGAGCGGGGATGTGAGAGGTCGCTCGTTGAGCATTGTATAACCCTGCCGAAAAACAATGCCCTGACTAATTTCTTCATAAAGAACTTGTTGATTTTCTCGGCCGAGGCCGTGAGAATCAATATTAGTCAGATGTACAGTAACATTCCAGTCGCTATAGCTCAAAAAAAAGTTTTAAGACCATTTACGTGCGATACATTCAAAATTAAGAAAGTTTAAGCGTCAATGTAAGCAAATTTTCAGGTATTTCGCCGCTGACAAACCCATGAAAAATTGTGAGCCAACTTGATTAACAAACCTTTCACATATGCATTATTACATGTTGTTCGTCCTTGTTATTAGTCACGAGGAGAAGTATTCAATTTACCACGTGTGTATTTCTTTTTTTACCGCGGTCAAAAACCATGTTTTTGAAGCCCACGCGGCTCTTTCCTGGCCAAGACATTTTTTATCCTATACGAAATATATACGGTGTAAAATAGGGAAGAGACAGTATGAGTGTTGCAAGAACGCGCTCATTATCAAATGACAACTTCCACGAAACATGCAAACGAATGTAAATACCAATTACATCTCCATCACAAGTACGTCGGAACTTTCGTAACCCCACCTTCTGAA